GATATCCGGACGGTTTTTCATTGGAACGAAATTTTTAAATATTAGTTTGACTTGTTTAACTAGTGATTCAGATATCCGTATGCTTCACATATCCAGACCAATTGACTGGGAACCAAAGTGTCCGGATAAATGAGGGTCCACTGTACTTTGTAGAACAGACAGGTGACTGTCAAACTCAATCCAGAGACACATGGTTGGTCTTGCCTAAGACAAGACAGAAGGACTGTGGGTTTCCAATTATGTCCATATTCCTAGCTGCTGTCCACTGCAAACTTATACACATTGTTTGTCCCAAAATGATTTTTATGCCATCTAGTTCTTACAAGGTATTCCTTTAAAGATGGTGTCTTCATCACCAGTACAGAAGAACAAGGCCAGATAGAGAGCTCGCTCAATCAACAGAGATAAATAGTAAAAACAAAATGGAGGATTTTTTTTTTTTATTTTTGGAGAGTAAACATACATACATATCACAATAGAGAAAACAGGGGGAGATAATTCACTACATCGTCAGCTCCTGAAAAACAAAGATACATGTGTTAAGTAAAAGTATGGTCTCTGTAAAAAAATTATCAGAAAAGGTTACTGTATGACAAAGGAATTATTTGATTGTGGAATGGTCCATATTTAGAATATTATCACCTAGACACAAATGAATCAGCATTATTAACATTAGAAATGGTTCGTTAATTCAAGAACTTTTGGCAGTTAAAAGCTTCTTATACACTGAAGAAAATGACATTACTGATTGAAACTTACCATAATAGCGTTGACAATGTCTTTATTACTGATTGTTGATAATCTACAGAACTTACCATAATAGCGTTGACAATGTCGTTATTATTGTTCCGAAGCGCCTTGACGGCTTTCGATCGGGAGACGTTGGCTTGTGACATGACAAGTTCAATGTCTTTACTTTCCACCCCAGACTCGTCCACCTAAAACACAAGTACAGGAAAAATAAGTCGGAAAACATCTTAAAATAGGACACAGTTGGACATTAACCACTGTCTAAAGACAAAGTTCTTTATTTTCTGTGGTTTGCTTGCATCAGAGAAATTGGCTTGACTAAACAGCATGGTTAACAGCATCTGTCGATAAGTTGGGGAAAGTTCTCTCATCATTACAAGCAACTGAACAGAAAAGTGTGGCTACCTTGTGGTAGCCAAACAAATGTGATAGACAGGCAAATGTGGTAACCAAGCAAATGTGGTAGACAGACAAATATGGTAACCAAGCAAAGACAAATGGAACATGGGAACCAACTTATTATTTTCTTTTATGAAAATAATTGACTTTGGCTGGAACCCATGTCCTCCATTAAATAAGAAAAAAAATCCTGTCCTGCAAAGGCATGAAAGTACATGTGTACTCTATTTGGAATAAATTTATCTCATCCCCTGCAACAGCACATATGATATCAAATAACTCTTAGTAGGATGGGCCAGAGGTTACATCCTTTATGTTCAAGAAATTTTAGCAAAAGCAACAGTGTTTCCTCGCCTTGTTATGAATATAATCCATTGTCAAATTTTATTATAAATACAAGTGAAAAATGATGGTTTGCTTGCATCAGAGAAATTGGCTTGACAAAACAGCATGGTTATCAGCATCTGTCGATAAGTTGGGGAAAGTTCTCTCATCATTACAAGCAACAATCAACAGGTTAACATTTCATATGAAATTTATCCATAAAATTTCTCGTCATCAAAATTAATTTTGTTTTACAGCTAATGTTTTAGTTGACTACTTTTCTCCTAGATAGGCATACAATTAAATGTGCATTAAAAATTACCTACCCAAGCCCTCCTTGATAAAAGAAAAATCAAAATTATTTGAAAAACAACTACATTACTTAAAATTTTTAAAGAAATTTAATTGCAGAGAGATTTGAGCTTTATTGGTTCTTTACTTCAATACTTTTAATGTTTAAATGTGAAACAATTTTTGATGAAAAAAATGGAATTTATACTTTGTAATTTTTGTCCATTTTTCTTGAATAAGAAAAATTTTCACAATTGAATCTTTTTAAAACCCCTGGTAATGCATGGTTTTTTGTCTGAAACAAGAACCAGTTATAAAATTTATCTATATGTAAAGTTGTTATTTTTTTGATAAGAACCTAAGGGCCAGATTTAAGCCTGCTAGATGCATTGTTCATTCCTTAATGCATCATTCAATTAAGTTAAGTTCAGAGAGGGCTCCTATTTCCTTTGTCTAGATGAGGTTAAAAGTGAGAGTTAAAAGATAAGGTGAAAGATAAAACATCTGAGACTTGCTTGCATCAGAGAAATTGGCTTGTCAAAACAGCATGGTTATCAGCATCTGTCGATAAGTTGGGGAAAGTTCTCTCATCATTACAAGCATAGTCAGTTAAGGGAAATGTGCTCTGGGCTTACTCTATTAAATCAATGAATCTTTAGCCAGTCATCCCCATACTTAGTTATATTTTATGTATGTACTTGTAAATTGCCCTTGCATTTTCTAGATCTATAGCACAATTTTCATAGCAGTATTAACCTCACCATTTTTGGAACCAGGACAAGTATCTAATTGCCTTGGTGGTGAATTTCAGTCTTATCTTGTTTATCTGTCAGTCCTGACAGTACATTGATACAAATATCCCCAGGTCTATGGAGACTTATCTTTCCTAAATAATGACTCCTCCCTTTGGTACATGAATAATTACCTCTCCCTCGTCCTCGGATTCCTCTGGGATAGGTTGTGACACGGTACTGGACACCTCTCCTCCCACACCCGCAGGGTTCTCGGGGGTCTTGAATTTCTCTGCTGCGGCCATCTGGGCTTGTTGACTCAGATCTTCAATCTACAATACAGAGAAAAAATCTACAATAGTGATTACACGTACAACATGTATAAAATCAAAATCTATAATACACATACTCCTAATAGGGGGTTTACTGAACTACATACAAAATCGGAGAGTTCAGTGAAGCCCCTATTAGGGAGAAGTATATTGTTAGGTGATTTTATTCAACAAATGACCTTTTTATATACTAAGCAATGATGAAATGAATAGAAGAGCGGTGTTGTGATCTTCTCTTGTCCATGATCTACAACTTAAGAGTACATTTAGATCTGTTACATGGATAGGAGACTGACCGTGTATATGGTATAAATGGCCAGCACTATGTACATGTTGTTCTATTTAGATCTGTTACATGGATAGGAGACTGACCGTGTATATAATATAAATGGCCAGCACTATGTACATGTTGTTCTCTTGCCCCCGCACTGCCAGTGTGGACGAAGCCTTCATCAGATAAAACATCTGATTCCAACAACGTACAACAGAATTACTCTACACACCAATCATCAGTGCTAGGGCTTCCCGAGATTTTCCCAAACTAAATGGAGTTTACAATATCCATGCAAGACATTTCCTGAATGGTACTTTCCATTGAACATGAAATTGTTCTGTTAAGTTTGTTTTCAGGAAAATACTAATAAACTTTGAATGAATCATTGACCTGGATAATGTGTGAAGTCTCCTTAAACAGGACAATTTTATGATGCATTACTGCACAAGACCTTATAAGCCAGCATCAGTGTTCCAGACTATTCCTTTTATATGATAGAAAGCCTACCTTTGCCTCACCGAACACAATGAAGGTATCAGAAGCCGGGCTTTTGTAGACATCTGGTCGGTTGATGACGAACAAGATGTTCTTGGATTTTCTGATTGTGACACGTGTTACGCCTTGTATCTGTTTTAAACCTGTGTAAAAAATGTTTTTTTTAAATAAAGAACAATCACATAAATGTGTGCAAAGGTGTTATATCAAGTATTCAGAGCTAGAATTCCAGTTATGCCACTCTTTTGATTGGAAAGATATTTAAGCTTCTTGTAGGAAAATATGGACTTTCCCATTCCTTACTTTTCATAGGGGATACCCATCTCATAATTTATAACCTGAATTCCTCCTTTACTTTATTTTATGACAACATTAGCATTTGTCCATACCTAACTTAGACATGGCTTTCCTTGCTTTCTTCTCACTGCGACTTTGTTTAGCTTTACTGACAAGTTCCTCAGGAATACCAGCAGCTGCAGCCACCTAGAACAAAATATAAACATGTTAGTTTCGATCACTAGTTTTAGCTACCTAGCTTGGAATTATCTATATAGTTTTTTCCTACCTCATGTAGGTTTAATTATCTATTAAATGATTAAAATCAAAACTAAAATTTTGATAACAGGAGTGTTTCTGATTAGGCCATAATAATTATCATCCCTACCCTCTAAATTTTCCCCAAAACTCAAGTGAATTTGCCAATATCAGATATACATTGAACACCTTGGACAATGGTACCTGGCTCTCTTGTTGAATGTCTGTGTCTTCATCATTGTCGGATTCTGTCCCTGATCCAGATCGTTATAACGCTTACCTGGCTCTGTTGCTGGATATCTCCGTCCTCCAGATCAGGGACGTCCTCATCACTGTCGGATTCTGTCCCTGATCCAGATCGTTATAACGCTTACCTGGCTCTGTTGCTGGATATCTCCGTCCTCCAAATCAGGGACGTCCTCATCACTGTCGGATTCGGTCCCTGATCCAGAAGCCTCCTCGGGCTTTGTGTCATCAATGGGCTTCTCTACTGCTTCTGTCGGCATTCTAAAATTATTATATGCACATTACAATGGGTGGAAATAAAATTAGTCCGTTTTGTAACAGTCCAATACAAGATCTAGGATTATTAAACGAAGCTTTATACAACGTTCTTGTAAATCAGACTTGAGAGCAACAATCCCTACAAATATCAGCTCAGGTTACAAGTTGAATATTTTATTCTAACAATCATAGCCAAAAATACGCAAAAAACGAACGGGCTCAAGAAAACGGATATCAATAAAATGAAAATCGATGATCTACTATTAATTGTCTATGTGTCTTTTCCTTGAATACGCTGAAATACTGTGATGATTCGCAAGGATTGGCGTCGCTACTCACATGCTGTGTTTGTTCTGCTGTCGATGGCTCGAAAAGGAAGTTCAATGTGCGAACTTCCGGCAGGTGAGAGGAACTCTTCTGCTTGTGGAGGTATATTTGGCGGCTTGACAACACTGAAAACATCACAAAACAGAGGTTTTTGTGGCAAAAAGATTTTATTCAGGTATAGACAAAATTTGGTTTCTTTCTTACATATTTCACTAGGACATTGAGACTTTTATTTCGTTACGGATAAAGCTCCTTTGCATTTATTTTCACCGCATTTATTTTCATTGGCTATGTTAAAATATGAGTTTGGACATGCAAAATTTACAGTAATCTGTGAAAATCGTTAAACAATACACGCGTGGAATACTTTAAACAGATGTTCCTATAATATGTTTTACGGTGTGACCGTTGGGGCGAGCGCAGTTTATTTACTATCATAAACCTACACATGTACTGTCTATCATTCAAGAAAAAAAAGCAAAAAGAATAAAACAAAACAATAAATAGAAATCATTTCCCAAGCATCGGGATCGAAATTCCAAACTTCTCGGAAGTTTCCGACAAAATCGGAAATACCCGAACCGTTGAAGTGACGAAAGTATGACGTCAGATAAAAAGTTCTGTTGACTTAGAACACAAAAGCTAGTTTTATGGAAAAGAGATTGCATTAAATCGTTCTTTTCGAGTAAGTTGTTGCTATGTTTTAGCCACTATGTTGCTATGCACCGCAACATGTTTTCCGAATTTCAAAGCAACCGATGTAACTTCGTCAAAATTCGTAAGTTTCCATGACGTCATTTGTATCATTTCCGAAGGGCAAGGTGAAGGCCGGTGTTGTGGCATGGGGGTATTTTTTTGAATAATGTAAGGCAAATCATTTCGTTAAGATTTCGGTAAGAAACAATGTTCCGTTAATTTTTTTACTATTTTTGATTTATTCGCGCAAAGGACATTGGGTAGTGCAGGATTTTTAAGGTTGCACAGAGAAATTTGGCTGACGTATGTACAGATTTCAATCCGAATTTCCTCTGTTCATTCACGTTAGTCTATTGAGCTCGCTTCGCGAGCGTCGCTTCGCGACGCTCGCTGCGCTCGCTATAAAAAAAAGAGATACAGGAATACAGATATTTAGTGAAATATAGAATCTATGTTTTTTTAATCTAAATCAGCATGCACTGATCTAGATGTGGTCATTGAAGTTCTGAGAAATAAAGGGCTTACTTCAAATCCTTGTTAATATTACTGATTAAGGTTTGTTTTCAGTGTTAATTATTGAGTTTAGCTGGGTACTATGAAATTGAAAATTGAGTCCCGCATAAGAAATAACTGTTGTAGAATATCAGTATAGGTAGTTTTAGCAGATGGATAAGAATATTAAGAGATTGTGTTTTGAATTTTGTATATAAGTTTATCACATTCTTTGGATCAATAACATTAGAACCTATGACCTATACATATATACTTAGTAACTTCATTCCTACTAGAACTTCTGACACAATTTAATCATTTTTGTTTCCTTTTCAGCATAGGACTTTTCTACCACCATGCCCAGTGCTGGGGCAGTTTGTCCCCCCTTGATTACGCCTGTCAGGCGGCATATTCCGGGCCTCGCCACAAATAAAATAGACACCACCACACTCATAGAGATCACCACAGGTAAATAATGCATACTATGGAATCATTTTCATATGAAGTGGACAATTAATTTTGTGGATATCAAAAAAATTACAAGTTTGTTCCATGTGGAGATAATTTGGTGGGTCCATGTCTTGTTATAAAAACTTAACTCTAGACATGGTCTTATTTAAATCATAAGAAAATTTCTAATTTAAATCGTAATAAAAGTTTGAATTAGCAATAGTATCGAAAACATTTTCTACCAAAAAGATGATTTTTTAACATTTTATTTTTGCAAAGATTAGAGTAACAAAGTATGCACCATTATATTTGTCATTAATTATACTAAGTAGACTTCTTGTTGAATCTAAAATTAATTAATAATTTTTTTTTTAGAAACTCCTGATTGTAAAATATATTTCACTTCTGATGGAACAAAGCCGTCTCCATTTCAACGTAAAATTGGAGGACGCGAGATCACATTCAAATACAAGGCTCCTTTCACACTTAAAGCTGGAAAACGTACATTGAAGGCAGTAGCTGTTACAAGGTACAATAAAACAAGCAATGGAAAACAAATCACGTACATAACAAGTGATTGTACTCTCAGAATTATTACGGGATGAAGAAAATCAACACTTTTAACTGTTTAATGTATGTGCCATTTACACTTTGGCACAAATGTATTGTGTTTGTAACAATGTTTACTGCATGTTTATATATTAATTGGAATCAAATTCACAGATAACAAATACATATATAGGTAGTCTTGTACAAGTATAAGCTATTCACTTTCTGAATAAGATACTGCAAAGCAACTATTATTCGCTTCATCTCTTATTCCTGATTTGTCAGTTTGAAATCAAACAATTAATTTTTGTCACTGAGAAAACATTCCCTACAAATACAAAGCCAAATATTAAATGGTTTGTGACGATAATTTTTCTGAATTATAGGACATAAAACTCTTGGATATTCGAATAAAAGTTGGTTTACATTGTATCAGACATACAGTAAGATAAGATAAACTGATGTAATAAATTATTGATTTCCAGAGATGGAATCCGGGAGAGTGACGTGATGACAAAGCAGTTTATGGTGGAGGAGACTGGACAGCTCAGCCACGCCGAGACCACCACGGACTGCTACTCCACCGACGATTACACAAGCTTCTTTGACACCTCAGACCTCGACACTGACACCACACAGAAAACCTGGACTAGCGCTTCCACTGTCAAAAACAGGAGGAAACCCAAAAAGGTAACACACACACACTCACACTCCCTCACACACACACACACACACTCAAAAATAGGAGGAAACTTAAAAAGTAAAACTACGATTATACATACCTTAATTAACTCATTTTCAAAAACTTGTTAAACAAATTGTCAGACTTCCTTCCAACTGACTACAGAGGGAAAAATATTTAACCTGTAAAGGTTTTTAAATTTAACTAATGTACCAGGGTTTGCAAAAGAATTGCAATATGATTTTTGTATAATTGTCATTTGTCCCTGTTGTTTTATATATTCTGTGTTTTGATGATTTTATTTTTGTTTTATTAGAGTAAATCTCCAGTGAGATCTAAGTCCCCTCTGCGATCCTCTCTAAGGCGGTCCCCTAAGGAGGCATGGGCCAGCAGCCAGACCTTTGATAACTTTGGAGCCGAGGATGGACGTCACAGTAAGTCTTAATTAGCCATTAATTTTATTTTGAGCCAGTATTTTAATTGACTGAGAAGAAAAGGTACATGTTTTAGTTCTGATGCATGTGAATAGACAGAACATGCAACGACATTCAATATGAATATGCTAAAGAATAATTTTTTTTTGGAATTTCTTGAAAATTAAATAAAAATCTTCTAAAAATTCTATACCTACTCTCGCATATATCTGAATATGATAATTAAATGCCTTTTTCACAATAAATTGAAATAATATTCATATAATTTGTCATTTTTAATGCAATGTTTTCTGATTGTCGTGACATGATCTGATTTTTTTATAGGTCCCCCACAGCCCCCTGTTCCCGAGGGCCCGTTTAACCCTACCAACTACTCTGGTACCCAGATAAACGTGTGGGGCGCTCCCCCTGGATCCTGGCCCGGGATGAATGCCAGTAACGGGGCGGTCACATTTGGCGTCCCGGTGCCTAGCAACCCCTACCCCACACAGACGGGCTTCCTCACAGAAAATATGATCAGTGTAAGCAACGAAAAATGTAACTATTGGATAGATCTAAGCTTTTATAATTATGATCTTACATTTATAGAAAATATTCCAAACATTTACTCTGTGAATACAGATATCAAAGTTTATTCTGTCAATGGTATTCTTTGGGACAAGAATAATACTTCAGATTTTATAGAGATTTTGCTTTCTGATTCTTTCTCTGTGTTTGTCAATTACTTTGACATTAACCTATTAGAAGTAGAAAGCCGATTTTAGTCAAAGTCATGATTTCTTGTCAGTTAGGTTAAGGTTATGTTAATACTGGTGGCATTGTGATAAACAGTTTAATTTTTGTTTAAACAAGGTTCTAATAATCTGACATAGATACCTCGGTAATTAATGAAGACTATCCCATCTAATCAACATAATTATACAAAATATAACATCATTGTAGAACTGTAACCCTGAAAATCGTCACGTGACGGTAGGAGACTTACGTCAGATGATGAACAAGCGACCTAAAACTATCGAGGAACCACCAAAGGAGCCACCGAAGGCCATCGAGCTTCCCCCTCCCCCTAAAGATCCGGAATTATCTGCCGTCAGTCCCGGAAATGGTAAACAAGTAGATACATGATTGTAGGGAATATTTTCTAACAGTCATGTCATATTGGAAAAAAATAAAAGAGATTCATCTGTTTATAGATATAAAGACTAAAGTGATTCATTAGATTTCTCAAAATTTAGCTATCTTATTCATATTTTTTTTTTAAACATGTTATAATTTGTTGTTAAATTTTTCAATTAAGATTACTTTTCAATGCATAAAGAAAATTAATAATCTTATGTTAATTTTTTTTAAAAACAGGGGACTTCAAAGGAAATATACAACACATCTACGCTCATATGCTGGAATTCGCGAAAAATAACAAGGACTTTCGACTAAGAGTGGCTGAACCCAAAATTGGAAGAGTATGTATTTAATGTTTATTAGTAGAGGGTTTTTTTTATTGTTATTTTTTCTTGTTTAAAATCAACGACCATAGAAGACTTAAATTTATAAAAACTTGTATATCATTAATTTACATATATATATAGATTATATAAGTTATTCAAAGGGTTTTTAAATTTTTTTCCCCTTAAAATGGATCAAAGTATTATTATTTTACAGAATGATTACAGATTCTTCCATTTATTTTTTCAGGATTAAAATATTAGCAAAATTTCACAAACAATTTAGCAGAAATATAAGAAGACACTGTTTTATAAGATAAGAAATAAATTCTTAAACTTTATTATTTTTTCTTTTCCAGATGCATGAAGCCAAGTTTGAAGATGAGGGAGATGCATATAGAATTACTCTAGTGATGGGAAAACCGGGCGTGCCAAGTGAGTGAAGACAGACAAAAATATCAAACATTTCATAAACAGACACTGCATAATGTCCAACTGTGCCATACTTTGTCTTAAGCTTTAAACAAGAAGACAAAATTTTTAGTGATGTAATCAAGATAGTAAATATATATATTCTGTCAGTTGTCATTTCTGTGCATGTAATAACTTATCCTTATTTATGTTTTGTAGAAAAACTTTTTGATATTTATAATATATTATTTTAAACATTTCCTGGTGAAATTTTTAGATGTTTTTAAAATCAGATTAACAAAACGCATTTTTAAAATTTTTTATTTAATTTTATAAACAGCATTTTATAAGGTGGGATTTTAGATGTATTATTAAAAGTTCACTTGATATTTTGATTTATAAACTATGAACTTATATTTTGACTTAATAAATAAATTATGAACTCATCACAGAGTTGCTTTATTTCATTAAATTAAAAGTTAACTTTACATTTTGATTTGATATATCGTGAACCCGTTACAGAGTTGCTATATTTTGTTTATTTAGGAGGATCGCTACGCAAACCTCCGAAAGTGGAGACCAAACCGAAGAAACCCCCCACTCCCCCTCCCTCAAACGGAAAGAAAAAGAAGGAAACACCCCCCAAATCTGACCCCTACTTTGCAATGGAAACAGAGGATCTTCCGGTATAATATTTTATTAATCACATTTAAAATAAGCATGTCCATTTTGTGCCTGTGTTTTGGAAAGTTCTAACCATCCACATATGCATTGGGAAATAATTGAAAAGTATATATTCCTCTACAAACAATGTAGCAATGTATTGAGATGAGTTTTAACAGAGTTGTCTCCCTTTAGGTGGAGGGGACAATGTGCTTGCGAAAATTAAATTCTCGCGTATAATACAAATTTAATGCTGAACAAATTCGAAAATTTTGCTCACTTATAAAGAGGTACTGAGGGGTGCCATGAAGGGGCTAGGTACGAAAAACAACTTAATTATGTCGATGTCATTTGATATTTACATGATAAAAGGAAGTTGCTGCATGAACTATAATATTTGTTTACCATCCTGGGAGATTTTTAATTGCTGGAGAGAAAAATATTTTTTTCCGTGCTCATAAATTAAGGAATAACTGTCTCTTAATTTGTTATTTGAACCTGTTAATATTCATTTAATGGTCGCAAACTAACTGTTTAAACTTCATTAAAGGTTGAAATAACAAAAAGACTCCATTTTGTTGAGTTTAGTGATATCAATTAAGTGTGTCATGAAGTGCTATGTTTTTGCTGTGTTCTATTATGACTGAAGTTATACTAGTATGTGACAGTAATTTGTTTAATATCTTACACAGGGACTGATGAAGACGCTATAACAAATATCCTGGCTTATCGATCTAATCCTCAGAGACAGGAAGTCAGGGTAGCATTCAAAACCATGTACGGAAAGGTAGGAATACATAACCTATGTAGAGTTAGTTTTAAGCATATTTATTTTATTTTATCAAGTGACAACTTTTACCTTGTCTATATTTATTTAACCTTTGACCTTCTGACACAGGACCTTTTAGAGGAGTTGAAGAGTGAACTGAGTGGACATTACCTGGACGCCTGTAAGGGTCTGATGATGGGCCCGGCTGAATTTGACGCGTATCAGCTCCGAAAAGCCATCAAGGTAATATATAAAACAACTCTGCATTCCAAAAAAGGTAAAAATATAAATCAGCTCCGTAAAGCCATCAAGGTAAAATATAAAAAAAAAAAAAAAACAGCGGGGAATGAATATGCGATAGTGTTTTACAAAGAATAGGGTGATTGATTACTGCAAAGTCTGAGTGTATGTGTTGTTCAGGTAAAATGTGAATATTTGGAATACTAGCTCTAGATCACAATTTTTTAAAGATGAGTTGAAAACAAACTCTAAAATTCAATTTAGACAATATGATATTTCTAGCTCCCTCTATAAGTAAGAAATAATACTTCAGATTCTGTAAAATACATGGAAACAATAAGCAGTAAACATTAAGCACTTTTTGTTTTGTTTTACAGGGCCTAGGGACAGATGAAGACGTGTTGATAGAGATTTTGTGTACCAGATCTAACGCCCAGATCAAGGAAATCATCAAAACTTATAAAACACGTAAATATTTCCAATATAAATATCTTTTTCTCTATCGGTGTAAATTTGAATCTGTTAGATGATTTTTATAAGGATGCAAGAGTTTTGCAAATACAGTTTCATAAGAAATCATAGTTGATAAGTTTCTAATTGCTCGTTAATTACAGTATTCAATAAGGACCTGGAGAAAGACATTATAGGCGACACGTCGGGACATCTGAAGCGATTACTAGTGTCGCTGGTTCAGGCCAATAGGAGCGACAGTAAGGAAGTGGACCGTAACAAAGCCAAACAAGATGCTAAAGCACTACTGGACGCCGGCGAGGGGAAATGGGGCACGGACGAGTCCCGATTTAACGTCATTCTGGCCTCCCGCAGCTATCCCCAGCTCAGGGCCACGTTTGACGAATATGAGAAAATCTCCAAGAAGAACATGGTAGAGGCGCTGAAGAGTGAAATGTCAGGAGACCTACTGAGGGGAATGTTGACTATTGGTAAAATATACAGTGTCATATTATGTCACCTATAAATAGTGTAACATGTTATAAATAAATGAAAAAAAATTCCCTTTTTTTTAATATTTGAATAATATAACAGAAATTTTCCTTCTAGGATTTATGTGAATAAAAACAGCATTTGTTATTTAAAACATGCATTCATTAGCTAAATTAAGTAACAAGATAAAAAGTGAAAAGTAACAGGAAAACAAAATCAAAGATTGAAAATTTCTTGCGATATGTTTAATTCCTGTATATATATTTTTCAGTGCGATGTGTGAGGAATAAGGCTGCTCATTTCGCGTACCAACTCCAGAAGACGATGAAGGGTCTCGGGACGGACGACGACACTCTCGTCCGAGTCGTCGTGTCGCGATGTGAAATCGACATGGTCCAGATCAAGGAGGAATTCCAAAAAATGACAGGACAAACATTGGAGCAGTACATAGCTGTAAGTATACACACTCCTCTCCTGGTGATTTAAAAATCTTTAATATTTTATTAACTTGTCTAATTGGAGATTACACCGTAAGATGAGTCTGTATATAGATGTATTTTAAATCCCCCTACTTGAATTGTTTATAAGATGATGATAAGTGTCTGTTTTATTTGACAGGATGACATCTCTGGGGATTATAGGAACATTATTCTGGCCCTCGTGGTGGGAGGACCTCCCCCAAACACTGCCTCCAAATGTAAGTCTAACTCATATATATACTGAGGAGGTGCTGGCACAAAAAAAGTCTAACTCATATATACTGAGGAGGTGCTGGCACAAAAAAAGTCTAACTCATATATACTGAGGAGGTGCTGGCACTAAAAAAGTCTAACTCGTATAAGTCAAACACAGCCTCCAAATGTAAGTCTAACTCATATATACTGAGGAGGTGTTGGCACAAAAACGTTCCCTCACTGTTCAATGGCACTGAGAGTGGAATATCCATAATATAAATATGCAGCTCTCCATCGGCAAGTGTTAGGGTCTCCATATGAGTGAAAAATTCTGGAGAGGGACAGTAAACAACAAATAAAAACAAACTTCTCTATTTCTTTTATATGATTAAATCATCCTATGTTTAGCTTGTAAAGGTTCTGTACTTGTGATGTTATTTTCTCGGTTTTCTATTTTTAGCTGGTAAGGGTTTTGTGGAGGCCGTCAAAAACAAAACTGAGGAAGAATTGGATGAAGAGGTCAGAATGGAATCTGAAGAAGTCCAGGTAAAGTAAAATAAAACAAACAGGTTACCATTGAATTAAATCAGCAAAGTCAAATATAAAAAAAGTGACAGTATAAATATGCTTTTTGTGTGAACTTCTTTTAAACTGGACACTTTTTTAATAAATGGTCATTCTCAAGGCCAACACAGGTAACATTCACATAGTGGTAGAACTTAAAAAAGAAAAAAGTCAAATTTTAAATCCTTGAAATTTTCAAAAAAGCCTGTACAATATGAGATCATTATAAGATTTGTGTAAATATCATTAGACATGTTCTGTAATTTACAGGAGGATCCTACAGTAAAACCGGCGGAGAATTTCAACGCTGAGAGTGACGCAGAGGCTCTCAGGAAGGCCATGAAAGGCTTCGGTATGTTATCTATGATTCTGTATGTATTTATCTATAAATAGATTTTTCTGGTAATTCAAATTTCACATTGAAAACCATATAGTGTAATCAGCTTCAGCATTTCCTTTTCAAATTACCTACTTCATTATTTAGTTAAGATTATGGTACTGTTCTTGCTTAAATCATGCTGTGAATAGATTTATATGGATTTCCTCATTATTAAACAGGAACTGATGAACAGGCCATAATAGACATACTGGGCTACAGATCAAACGCACAGAGACTAGAAATTGTTCAAACTTACAAAACAATGTTTGGAAAGGTATAATTGTAGTGATGATATTCATGTACATCATAAAATAATTAATATTTTGTCTCCTCCAAATGCCATCTTCTTACAAAATCTAGAATTAAAGTGATTTTTAATGCTGTAGGATCTAGAAGGGTTGTGACTTGATTGATTTTATTTTAGGACCTAATCAAGGACTTGGAAGGGGAGTTGAGTGGGGGTCTGAAGGTCCTCTGTCGGGGTCTGTGTATGAGTCCGGAGAACTTTGATGCCATGTGTCTCAACAAAGCCATCAAGGTAAAAAGTCAAAATGAAGGTCAAAATGACGATGTTACAAGTACCACCCACATTCTGATCATACAGATTGAATAAAAAGATAATTTTTAATTTACCATTCCATCATTTAGCCTTTGGGCCTGTTGTTGAAATATAAATATTTATACTCTGAATGCTGAAGTTTTGCATTCTAATGAGTATCCTTTATTGCAGGGCCTGGGAACAGATGAGCAGGTGCTTGTCGAGGTCATCTGTACTCGGTCAAACGAACAGATCAGGAAATTCAAGGAAGCCTACAAAACTTGTATGTTATATATCTATTGACAGACTTTAATAACACGTAAAATGCATGTATCTTTTAAGTTATACAGCAGCTTTCTCCAGATATGAGAAACCTGATTTACAGTGGTTAAAGCTGTCCAGATAGGTAATGGCCAATTGATTGTCATGTCATTACTGTAGTCCATTCAAAATTTAAATTTGAGGTGTACAACTCATTGTTTAGTTTTAAACATTAGATTTTAATTAGAGCTGCTTTTTTAGCTCACCTGAGCCAAAGGCTCAAGTGAGCTTTTCTGATCACAATTTGTCCATTGTTTGTCGTCGTTGTTGTTGTAAACTTTTCACATTTTCTTCGACTTCTTCTCAAGAACCGCTGGGCCAATTTCAACCAAACTTGTCACAAAGCATCCTTGGGTGAAGGGGATTCAAGTTTGTTCATATGAAGGGCCACGCCCTCATTCAAGGGGAGATAATTGGGAATTAATGAAACTTTGGTGGAATGTTTTAAAAATCTTCTTCTCAAGAACCACTGTGCCAGGAAAGATAAAACTTAAGGGTAAATATCCTCAGTTAGTGTAGATTCAAGTTTGTTCAAATCATGACCCCTGGGGATAGGGCGGGGCCACAATGGCTGACCAAAGTTTTACATAGAAATATATAAGAAAATTCTTTAAAAATCTTCTTCTCAAGAATAGCAAAGCCATAATTGATCATATTTATATGGAAGCATCCTCAGGTTGAGCAGATTCAAGTTTGTTCAAATCATGATCCCCAGTGGTAGGGTGGGGCCACAATTGCCAATCAAAGTTTTATTTAGACATACAGCCTCCTCCGGATATATTGAAATTCAGGGGACCATGCAAATTATTTCAATATATCCGTAATTCAATATAAGCGAAATCGTGAAGCGGCCATTTTTTTTATTAAAAGTTCAATCCCGATATTAAAATAAAGAACAAACCCGAACAAATTAATTTTGTCTCATCGTTTACCTATAATAGTGTACAGATTACATGGAATATTAGTCCTTGAAAGTTTAAATAAAATTGTTTCTTTCTTTTTTATCGATAAGACAAGACAATCTTCAACTTCATTATTATTCCTCGATCGCATTGATTTACATTTTGGAGAAAAATCACGATGTCAAACTGTTGAGTACTGCTGAACGCTGCATGTATGTCATCGTAAGTGTACTCGGGTTGATCTCTTAGCTATTCCGAATTAAGGTTTATCATTAACCATTAACAGTTCGTATTTAATTTTTCAGTTTTTTTTTTTTTTTTAGATCTTTGGGGGTTAGTTACTATGTTGCCTTAAATACTTCCGTATTATATACATGGAAACAAAGAATTTAGCAGTGAGCAATTTTATTTCGTAAGAGCATGCAGTATAAAAACACATAAGGTGAAAACTTATTTATATCAACTGGTCAATCAGGCATAGTTTCTGTCAACAACCGTAATGACAGCCGCCAGGGAGTACTTCATTATAACCGTTATGAAAACAACTCATTATCACCTGTGGGGACCGATTAGTGGCTTCAATATAAGCCAAATTTCAATATAGCCGATTTCAATATAACCGTTATTTCAATGCAAAGAATATAAGAGTCAAAGACTGGGGATTTATTTTTAATTCAATATAAGCGGAATTTCAAAATAAGCGAGTTCAATATAAGTGGAGTAAGCTGTATATAGGAAAATTCTTTAAAAACCATCTTATCAAGAATAGCAAAGCCATGATTGGTCATGGGACTACTTTTGGATTTAAACTATTCAATAATAAACCAATTTCTACTTTTTCCTAGCCACAGTGCTCAGGTGAGCAATGTGGTCCATGGGCCTCTTGTTTTGTTTTTTTTAAAATAACAATATTAATGGAATTTAAACTTATATTTTTTGTAAACTTTGTAATTACATTGTGTTAAGTCAGTTATATGCATTTTTTTAACATTATAGTCTTGACCTACATTCAGTATAACTTATTATATGACTTTGACCCTATTTCAGTGTATGGTAAGAACTTGGAGGAGCACGTTTCTGGGGATACCTCGGGTCACTTCAAACGGCTACTGATAGGATTACTCCAGGCCAACAGGGACGAAAGCAAAGAGTTTGACAGAAACAAAGCTAAACAGGACGCTCAGGCCATCTACGAGGCCGGAGAGAAGAAATGGGGGACTGACGAGTCACGCTTTAACGTCATTCTGGTCTCCAGGAGCTATGCTCAGCTGCGTGCGACATTCCAGGAGTACGCTAAACTGGCCAACAAAGATATTGAAGACACGTTAAAGAGTGAAATGTCAGGGGATTTACTGAAGGGCATGCTAGCTGTAGGTATGTGGGACATACACTGGTAATGCAAATAGAGATTCTTTGTAAATGATGACTTAGTCTAATCCATAAACGTTTATAAATTATAATTTTGGCTTCCACACCAGATTTTGGTACTTGGAGCATTGAAATAAGGATAATTCATATTTGTCTCTTTGAAATATTTGAAGCAAAAAACTGTGTTCAAAAGAACATAAGAACATTAGTAATCTATTCTTGCAAATATGTCTCTTCCCTTTTTTAAGAGGATTAGATTTCAATTAAAGTTTATTTTTTAAAATCTAAATCATTCTGTTTGATAAATATAAATGTGAGTATTATAAAAGCTAATTGCTCTTTTTCTTCACAGTGCGGTGTATTCGAGGTAAGGCTTCACACTTTGCCACAGAGTTGTATAAATCAATGAAGGGTCTCGGGACGGATGACGATCGTCTGTGTCGAGTCATTGTATCCCGCTGTGAAGTAGACATGGTGCAGATCAAGGAGGAATTCCAGAAGCAGTACAAACAAACCCTGGCCATGTTCCTAGCTGTAAGTAGTGTATATTAGTCTCAAGCTTTTAATTCAAGTGCAGTATTTCATATAGCTGCAGAACTGTAGCGTTTTGGTTTTATATATTAGTCTCAAGCTTTTTATTCAAGTGCAGTATTTCATATAGCTGCAGAACTGTAGCGTTATGGTTTTATATATTAGTCTTTGACCATAACCGTACAGATCCCGCAATGCAAATGTGGTGCAATTTACGGCGCAAGATTTTCTGTGCACGGTTGGAGTGAATTTCTCCACTTTCCAATATTGATCAATTTCCATTTTCTCCCTAATTCAAGACACATTTTTCAACCATTTACTTTGTATATGTTGTCCACTTCCCAACCCTTTATACTTCACTTTATATTAACAAACTTGCTTGTTTTGATTTTTTGTTGGATGGCTAAAAACTGTTATATAAAACCATAATGCAACAGTTCAGCAGCTGTATTTCATAAACATTATACAAAGTTTCTGGGCCTTCATTCATTCTGGCCAATCACATCCATTCTCTTACCATCAATTGTTTCATTGCAGCCCTCGGTAAAATATAGATAGACATTCACTCTGGCTGACTTTAAAGCCCTTCTCCATGAGATACACTTGGAGAAGTACACCCTTGGTGTACTGTTTGTTGGATTGTTGTGTTTTTTTTTTAAATTGGAAATGTGTGGAAATTTCATTCCTTGGATTTTTTCAGGATGACATTTCAGGAGATTATAAGAACTTATGCTTTGCTCTGATTGGTGAATCGGTGCCAAAACCAGCAAAGAAGGAAAAGAAAGGTAAAAACAGAGGGAGCACTGTATCTGTATACATTCATAATGAAGCTAACAATTTATATTTGTAATGAAACTAATCATATCCTCCCAGAACAAGACACTGCAGTACATGTACTGATATCTTGTTCTCATTATCATCACAAATTAATTAGAACATTAAGGTCAAGATCTAGTAAATGAAAGGTGCCTACAGATTTATCAAATCTGAGAAATAAATTGGTTCATTGATGCTTTACAACTTTAGCTTGGTCACATAAGATGTTTCGGGGCATAATTTGTAGGTAAACAAGATGCAAAACTGTATCTTAAACTGTCATTTTCAATGAAAAATTAAGAAAACCAGTCATGAATATGGGAGTTTTTTTCTTATTCGGCAAAGGAAATGTATCCAGATTGCCAACAGTCTCTCAGAAAACGGTAATTAGTATGTTCATGGCCTCTTCTTTAAATCAATATCAAATTTAATATAGGTATCCGGTTTACTTTTCATGATTTCAAATTGAATGACATGAAAATACCCTATTTTCTACATAATTCTGCTAAAGACGTAAAGTACGGGAAAAAGAAAGTTGAAATTGATTATGACGTCATAATGGATCTAGCACCAAAAAATTAGTCTCAAGTTATTTACTAGATCTTGACCTTAAGTCAAGATTTCCAAATCCTGTAATTTATATCAAGCAGAAAAGCTGTTTGGTTTTAATCTAGCTGATGCTTCTGAATTTGTTAGTAACATATCTCTTAATTCAAATACAAACCAAAGTTAAATTTCAAATGGATCTCTGTTAAAAATATTTAGCAATTTTATTTATAGTTACTTAAAACATGTACAAAATGAGGTTTCCACTTTGAATTCATTTATATTGAAGAAACTTTGTGTACAGTTGATTACATATACCAACAAGATATTTTGTTGTTCAATTCAACTCATGAATTAATTTTGTGATTTTTTTAAGGTTGGTTCTCATAGCTACTGCCCTACCTCATCCATCCATTCCTAGGTAACACATGCAGGCCTTGATCCTGAGAACAAACAACAGAGAATTCCACAGACAGACAGATCTTAGGGCTTTCAGTGTTGTTATCTCTATATAGGTTCATAATAATCAAGGGGAGCATTTAGTTCTAGATAATATTTTTACAATTATGAAGAATTTAACTGTTGTAAAGTTAAGCTTAACTTTAGGTGGTATATACATATAAGGCTGTGAATGATATTATTTTTACTTGCTGATTATGAAACTTGCTTCACCAAAAAAGAATTTTTTAAATGTTTAATGAGAATTGATTTGGAAGGATCTGAAATATACATTATTATTTGTATTTAAGTTTTATTGGAATTCATAGACATATTTATTGCTTGTAAGTAATAGATAGGATGTAGGGTTGACCTTATAGAGTAATAAAGATAAAACTACATTCCATATAAGAATACAATTACTACCCCTTTCTTGTGGAACTCTTCGGTTTTTAAAAAGAAACTTAAGTAAGATATATCCATGGATAGAGAAATATAGTATGGTTTTGCAAGTCCTTTGCAAGACTGTTGGTATGTTAATATTAGGGAATGTAAAATGCTGAAATATATCAGAAATACATAGTCAATAATGTACAAGTGGGACGGGTTTTTTTTTAGGGAAAATTCATTTTAACTGCCATGCTGAATTTTTGTTTTTTTGTTTTTTTTTTGAATTTATAGTTGCAGGCATTTCAATTATACATATACTATTTTGAATGAATATTTTCAGCTTTTTTATTTAATGTTGTCTTATCTGTGATATTTTAATGTTTTCCATATTAAGTGTTTAAATAACATAGTTTATAATTAAAATGATGAGTAAAATATAAAGGTGTTTTTGTTTTGTGTTCATTTGATAAACATTACTACATGTACATCTTCTTTAGACATTGCCAACCAAGAGCAAGTGTCTGATATCATTATATAGGAACAGATTTCAATCTGAAGAAAAAATACCTTCAATGTGTATAAAATTTTTTAATTGATTGAAGCTGCTATGGCTTCATATATCACATATGTATTTCTTGTGACAAGACCATTTCTTTAAAGACCAACATTTTTTACCTTCAAGTTTGAAGAAGTTGTGCAAAATTTCACCAAACCTAAAACATTGGCAAAATGAACCGTTGATGATAAGGCTTTCATTCAATCTTAACTTGTGTATTCTAGTTTCCTTGAGTAAAAACCTTATGTAACCACTTGACCTTGAGGTTTGATCCACTTGAAAAAAAAACCTTTGGCATATACATGTAAGGTTAGAATGGTTGGAGCTAATGAGCTTTCATATTCAGCATGCTTGTGACAAAAGACCTTATGTTGGGTACCAACAAGTTTGAGCTACAAGTATTTTTTAAAAATAAGTTTGGTCCTAATTTAACCTTTTGATTGGATAGTCTTTTATATTGCAGATATATTCTTGTGACAAGACCTTACCTTGGTTGTGAACGATTTTGACCCTTTAACCTTGACAGTTGAGTTTACCTACTATTCAAATAAATTTAACCTTGGGTCATAATTTTTATTGCCAAGGCTTTCATATTTCACGTGTGTGTTACATGGCGTGGCCTTCATTCAGATACGTGTATATCAAACAATAATAACTTAATTCTATTTATATTTCGTCTTGATATATCCCAGTGAACTCGAAATTAAAAGTACCACAGCGTTTGACACATCCGTTTCATGTTTGGATACTTTACTAGAAAAAGACGTTATTGGTAATCCGGCAAAAAATTCCACAATTATGGAAAACCTGATGAAGTTCCTATAAATTTATAGCAATATCTTAAGACTAACACTTGCACATAGGGTTTATATCTCCCAGCTGATTTAATTGATATGTTTGCAAGTCCATGCTCTACATACGATCGAACAATTTCTATAAAAAGGCAAGCCATTGAGAAACAAGTTGATGAAGCACGGATATTTTTTGCAATATTTGATAAAATATGATCTCGTCACTGCAGACGGCCTACTTGAGTTGCATAAATTCTTACAGATAAAATGGTGAAGTGAATTATATTAACGAGTGGCTGAAACATCATAGTAAAAACTACCTGTCGGGGAGCTAGTGCTCAAACAGTGCCAGACCAGTTCTCAGAACCACAGGAGTCTGAAGTTTTAATCGTCCAAAAAAAAAAAAAAAAAAAAAAAAAATCCCAAAAAATTCTCAGAACTATAGTTTTAGAAAATGGGATTAGGTGCCAATTAAGGAGTAAACACTTCCCCTTTGACTCATCACATCCGCTGTGAACCCTATACCTTGGTAATGATCGGAGTAATCCGTAAGCAGTTCAGTGTGCAACTAGAGTTACTAGTACTATGAACACAGTGAAAAGTGAGCTCGCTAAATGATACCCCTCCCCTCCCATATGATTATAATGGCAAAGTCCATGCACGTCCTTCTCTGGGATACTCAAAGTGTAAGATCAAAACATAAACTACGAGGTGCACAATGGCTTTATGCAATGTTATACAGTGTATAATAAAACAACCTGTGATAAAATTTAAATTTTGCACATCCAAACACAGTTTTAAAAAAATATTTAGTTATTTCTCTTTGAGGCCTCCATACAATCTGTTATTTCTGCAGCGTACATTTTATCGCAAGGAACGTAATCGAGAAGAATTTCGATAGAGTTCATCTTTAAGTTGTCAAAACAATCGATAAAGAAACTTATACAGACTCATCGAATATTGCTTAAGTCAACAAATATCGTAATTACGAGTTTACTTCAGAATAGTTCGTCCTTGACCATGCATGGCCATGTTGACATGAACGACAACTCTCATAGCGAAAGTTGCAGACCGACGACGCCTTCGATTTGCACTTGTTTGTTAAACGATTGCGGAACAATATAGAAAGTAAATATGAATTTGATGCTAATATGGCAAGAGTTTGAGGTACGTACGTTTCGTTTCCCCGTCAAAACGATACAAACTGAGCTAATTTTCTTCGTATTATGAACGTCGAGACAGCGTTTTTTTTAAAATTCACACTGCATGGTGATCGGACAGTGACATAAACATTTTCATGGCGTCCGTCAGCTGGGCAATCCAGTTTGTCGCCAGTTTTGTTTTAATTAATTAAATTTGAAGTTTTTTGTATTCATAATTTAGCCAAAACAGACCAGAAATAACTGCTTTCATTCAATCATTGATTATACGATAACCTAGAAGCTTTATCAAGAAAGTAGTTCTGATTGAAAAATTTTATCGATGTGTAAATTTCTTCTTAATCGTGTTCTCGTCCAATCAAAACACAGGAAATCAATACATAAAATGAAGATTGGAATTATCATGTGATAAAATTTAAATTTTGCCCCCATACACAGTATAATTGTTGTGCTACTCAATGTAAAAAATAAAAAAAAACAAGTATAATAAACCGAGATATATCCCGGATGTTTATTGTTGAGATAGCGAATCTTCAAGTTCATCATGATTGTGCTATTTGGCTAAAATATTGTACATTGTTGTTTTATAAAGTTTTACAATCACAACCTCTCTACAAAGGGCAGGCCTATATGACAGATCTTGAATTCTTCTTAGACCACCGGTGCGCTGTGCAGTGATAAGTCTTCACACCTGTGATAATTACCAGTGTGCTGTCGTTGATCGTAATAGCAAACGGTCTATGGACGCCATCACTTTTCTTCACCACAGTCCTTAACCTTTTTCCCATCATCCTCGTGCACAACCAATACCTCATTCAAATCGGGAAAAGACACGTAAAGCATGCCGTCATCATCTGACGTCACGCAACAGGGCATGCTGGGAAAACCTTGGTACCACAGAAGTTCCAGATTATCGTTGAAGCAGATCACGTGATTAGTGTCCGTGAAGTCGCATACGACAATGTTATCGCTGACTGTCGATGTTAGAAACATCGGTACGAGAAAGAGAGGGACGGACCCCGCGGGATTCCTGTGTCCAAGAAGTGTTTTGAGGACCTTCCCCTCGTCTGAAATAATTTCTATTCCTGGTGGCTCTTCACCATCATAAAAAGACACACAGAAATCCCCAGTTGACAACAAACATATTCCAATGTACGACTTCTTCGTTCTGATTTGATCTCGAATGTGCATTTTCTTTCCAAGAGAGATGTAGGCAATTTTACGTTTGAATAAACGGGTTGCTGCAATTTCATCGTCTGTAACTACAGTCATCCGACAAATATTGTCGACTCGCATGGAATCGACATAAGAACCGTCGTGCAGGAAGCGCTGAACGAGTCCCGTCTCTCCGTCACACGTCACGATATACTTGTCCGTCGCTGCTACGTCATAATAATTGCACTCTTCAACGTCTGCCGACTGCTGACCTCTAAAATGTGAACTCGAGGAAACTTGCAACTTTCCACATTGCTGTTTGCTTCTCAACATGTTCAACAACTGTTTATTTGGAAGAAAATGTAATGGAAACTTCTGTGATTTAATTTGCAGAGAATCTTCAAACTTTTCAAGTTCCTTTAGCTTTTTATTGACTGAAAGGTACACAGACAAGAGCTCTGGAACATTTTCGTCGTCAAAGTTTTGATTGAAAGAGGAGTATCTCTTAGCTATTTCATCATGAACTGCGTGATTGATCGACATGTCACTTTTCACTTCGTGTTCTGCTACCTTTGTTTTCATTGCACCAAGAGTTGCTTTGCATCCAGCATAAAAATCGTCTAATTTTGTTTCGAATTCGCCGATTTCACCCAACACTTCTTGTTTCGCTTCAGAAATCCCGTTTCCATTCGTAACAACTCGTTTGATTTTCTCGGATTTGAGATAAACCTTTTCCAGTTCTCGATTGTAATTGATTAACACCGGCATCACTCGTTGATAAGCTTTCTGAAGATTAACACAGTGACAATTTGGATGACGATGATTTTCCACAGCGTTTTCAGCACTCGTCATTACCTGGCATCCAAAGCAGAAGAAATTCAGATCCTGTCCGTCCTCGCTTACGTTCACTCGCCTCGTGTCCTCCTCCACCACTTTGATCAGCGCCTCCGCCAAACTGTCTGTCGGGAAAGCTCGCGCGCTCTCCCATGGGTCGTCTGCTTTGCTGGCCTGGACTTCTGTTTTGTCCACCGGGCAGACGAATACTCCGTCATCTACTGAGGCGCCGATGTGGTTAGCCAGACAGGCCAGGCAGAAAGTGTGCTCGCACGGCAGAGTCCTGGGATCTCGGAAGCGCTGTAGACAAATCGTACAGGTCAAATAGTCCTCAGTCACATTCCGAGCGAGGCGACTTGTGGCCATCTTTATGAAAAAAATATTCCAATCGTCACTTTATTTTCACTGTCTCACTGACACGACAACCTCTATGTAGAATATCGCTTCACAGTTAAAATATACGTTCTAAATTCTGATCGAAGTATTTTTAATTCCTTTTCCTTTTAATCATCAGATTAAAGCTAAACCCACATATGATGTTTTGAAGAGGGATTTTAAGGATTAAAAGTATAGTACCCACACTGCACTGACTTGGCATTGACAACCTTGTATTGTTTTGTTGCCTCTGACATTGAAGTGGACAATATTATAGGAAAATAACAAGATTATCGAACGTAAAGTCAGGCGTCAAAGCACACACTCCCGTGTCTTCCACGTGTACTTTTACGTAATATTTCAATATAAAACAAAGAAACACAAAGCTTGCGGTACATATATATGTAACAACTGTATGAAGAGAAAAAAATAACTCGTTTTTTGGGGCCCGCGTTGCTCAATGTTTAGAGCGTCTGCTCTAGGATCGCTAAGTAAGGAGTTGATCACTCGGGAGCGGGTTCGAATCCCTCTGTGGCACGTGGAGACCAGGCCTGGGATACATAAAACTTAAATGAGCTCACTTTTGATTTCCATCTCACTTTTTCTCTAAGGAATATATAGTGAAAAAGTGAGACTGAGATCAAAAGTGAGCTCGTCTTTAGAACTTTTATGGCCCCAAGGCCAGTCCTTCGGATGAGACTGTATAAAACGAGGTCCCGTGTCGCAGTAGGTGCAGACACGAAAAAGATCCCTTCTTGCTCAATGGCCCTAAATGCCGAGTTCAGGACAAATTTTGCTGCTTTCCATCGACTCGAGAAGACGTTAAATAACATACAATCAATCAATACAATTAGAGGGTTAAGTACACGAGGAAGCCAACAACGGGAATTTACAAAATCCCTCTCAGGCCTCGTGAAGGTGAGCTAAAAAAAATTAAACTGGGCAGAAATATTTATTGCCTAAATGCATCTATAAATATAAGTATACATTTCAGACAGCATACTGACACGAAATCAATATAAAACGATCACACCTAAAACAAAAAACATTCCTGCATAATGGAAGCCCAAAGACATCTCCCATAACTATAACTATGGCTATTAGCAGTGGATTCTGAATCACAGATGCTTTTGCAATACATTTCCTCAAAAATAAACCACGTCATTGAATGCTAGATAGTTTTTCATTGTTTGTGGCAGAGGAAGACGATTTACATAAAGGAGGGGTTTCTTTTGGAGACGTTGGTACACGAACACTCGGCAAGCAGACATCAAAGAGCGAGGGGAGGCTGAAAATAAAAGATTTTATTCACAAATGGATACAAAACTAATAATGTTGTCATACCAGAGACATGTATTAGAGGTCTATCATAGGTATGTCTCTGGTCATACGCTACAAGTCGTCTTGCTTAAAGAACATCTTATACTCTATTATTGTTTAAGCATCCATTATCATTACTGGATCATCATCCCCAATGACTGAAAATCCAAAATTTAACTGAAAGGATTAAAATTAACTTCTTGGGTAATTATCTGCCACCGATATATTTGTTACCTTAAGGAAACATTTCAATTGGTTTTTAAGCATTATAATGTCTAATTTGACTACTCGTTCCCAAATTTCTACCAAGGTTTTCAAGCCACACTCGCCATTCCTCCTTTCATTACTCCTTCATTCTGCTGCTGTTCATACCAGCTTACTCATAGAGTCTTCACATACAAGCTTACTCTTTGATTCCTTCACATACCAGCTTACTCTTAGAGTTCTTCACATACCAGCTTACTCTTAGAGTCTTCACATACCAGCTTACTCTTAGAGTCTTTACATACCACATACTCTTAGAGTCTTCACATACCAGCTTACTCTTTGATTCCTTCACATACCAGCTTACTCTTAGAGTCTTCACATACCAGCTTACTCTTAGAGTCTTTACATACCAGCTTACTCTTAGAGTCTTAACATACCAGCTTACTCTTAGAGTCTTCACATACCAGCTTACTCTTAGAGTCTTTACATACCAGCTTACTCTTACAGTCTTCACATACCAGCTTACTCTTAGTGTCTTCACATACCAGCTTTTTCTTAGAGTCTTCACATACTAGCTTACTCTTAGAGTCTTTACATACCACATACTCTTAGAGTCTTCACATACCAGCTTACTCTTAGAGTCCTTCACATACCATCCTACTCTAAGAGTCCTTCACATACCAGCTTACTCTTAGAGTCTTCACATACCAGCTTACTCTTAGAGTCTTCACATACCAGCTTACTCTTAGAGTCTTCACATACCAGTTTACTCTTAGAGTCTTTCACATACCATCCTAATCTAAGAGTCCTTCACATACCAGCTTATTCTTTGAGTCCTTCACATACCAGCTTACTCTTAGAGTTCTTCCCATACCAGCTTACTCTTAGAGCTTTCTCTCATACAAAGTCCTTCATATACCAGCTTTCTATTAGAAAATGTCCTTCATATTACAGCTTTCTCTCAGACAAGTCATTCACATACCAGCTTTTTCTCAGACAAAGTCCTTCACATACCAGATTTCTTTCAGACAAATCATTCATATAACAGCTTTCTCTTCCACAAAGTTTTTCACATACCAGCTTTATCTTGGACAAATTCCTTCACATACCAGCTTTTTCTTGGACAGAGTTCTAACATACCAGCTTTCTCTTGGACAAATATCTTCGCATACCAGATTACCCTCAAAGTCCTTCACATACAAGATTTCTTTCAGACAATGTCCTTCATTTAACAGCTTTCTCTTGGACAAATTCCTCCACATGCCAGCTTTTTCTTGGACAAAGTCCTTCGAAAAACCAGCTTTCTCTTGGACTTCCTTCACATACCAGCTTTCTCTTGTAATGTCCTTCACATACCAGCTTTCTCTTGGACAAAGTTCTTCACATACCAGCTTTTTCTTGTACAAAAGTCATTCACATACCATCTTTCTCTTGTACAAAAGTCATTCACATACCAGCTTTTTCCCAGACAAATTCATTCACATACCAGCTTTTTCTTGAACAAAGTCCTTCATATACCAGCTTTTTCTCTCAGACAAAGTCCTTCACATACCAGCTTTCCTCTCGAACAAAGTCCTTCACATACCAGCTTTCTCTCGGACAAAGTCCTTCACATACCAGCTTTCTGTTGAACAAATTCCTTCAGGAACTCCTTGTCCTCCCTCCTGTCGTACAGGCGGTCATCTCTCCAGTTAAACTTCCACCTCCCACAGCCAAACTCGTACAGCATAACCAATATGGCCGCCGACTTCAGATAGAAGATACAAGCAAAAAGAGGCGACATCGTCATTGTCTGACATGTCACATGGTTATAGTCAATGTCGCAGCCATGTTGTAACAGAGATTTTATCATGTCAAAACACACACGATTGTCTATGGAAGTAGAAAGCAGGAAGTCCACTGCGCAGGGTCGGTCCTTGCTGAAGTACACGGTGGTGTTCGCATTGTATTCCAGTAAAAGCTGTCAACGTAAACAATTTATTAATGTGACATGAATTTTTTAGCTAACAGGATTCCTCTTTTCCCCCTCAATAAGCTTGAAAAAGAAAACATCCACCCATCCCTCTCTCTCTCCTTAATTTTCTTTTCATGAAAATTTATTGTACAAGTACTTAGTATATAGTGTTTCACAAAAAAATCTTGGTGAGTTTAAACGTGACGTTTCAGATGACGTTTGTTTAGCTAAGATGTCCACACAATACCTGTAAAAGGTCCACATTCTTATGCATGACTGCAATGTGGAGAGGGGTGTGGAGATTTTTTGGACTCCCTTCTGGATCCGCGCCTTTCTTTAGCAGGAGACTCGCTGTGCCGATGTGGAGATTGAAGACAGCTTTGTGCAGTGCAGTTTGACCTTTCCTGTCCGTGACCTCTAACTCTGCGCCCGATTCTATTAGAACCCCAGCAAGATTTTCATTTCCAGCTTCAAAACAAATTGTGGTGATCATTGTAAAATCGGACAAGTATCAATGATCCTTCCGATTTCATTTTATTTTCAGTTGTTAAATTATCTTTATTTCAAACCTTAATTTTATGCAAATTTAAAAAGAATTGTCTAACAATATTTATTTCGTATATATTTTAAACAATACAATGATTATAAGTAATCTTCACTTTTCTTTAATTAATCAATCGTCCACATCAAATCATACCCGTTGCCGCCATATGTAAGGCCGTCTGCCCCAGATAATTGACGGAATTCACGTCTGCTCCGTTCTGTAACAGTTCATACACCTGTTCAATGTCGCCATCCCTGGCGCTCTGTACAATTGATGGTATGGTACAGAAGTCGGTGCTCATTTACTTGTAGTAAGTCTCTCTAAATTACGATTTTCTTTCAAACATTTGACTGAAAATGTTACAAGGGTCATAACTTCTAAACCACAACCATGATGTACCTAAAAACAGATAAATATTAAACTTCTGATTTAATTTGTGAGTAGAAATGAACAATGCATATTACCTGACTTTGTTATACCTTTAGAAATTTGTTTCTATGCAAACATATACGAAAAAAGTCTAACATTTCTTTTTTTTGAGCTGGCTTACAAAAATCGATGTTTGACCGCTGAGTGAGATGCTGGACCGCTAACGTCACACAAAGGGCAGAACTTAATCTCTTTTGCATTCTTTGATGTTAATTTAACAGTGATGGATCTGAGGTTTTACATCACAGAAGACAGTACAAGATGCATATGTGTCAAAAAAATATTAAAAGAAAAGGTATAACAGAACATTCATTGATTGTGTTCTCGGGTAAAATGCGATTTGTCGACCCTCGAACCAAACTGCATGTCTGCCTGAGGCCGTTAATGCTTTTCATAAAATTGAAACTACGGCAGGTAAGAAAATAAATCATCTGTCCTACACTAACTATAAAAAAACTCATCTTTGATCACTTCAAAAATAAAATAGGTCCTTTTCTGACATAAAATTAAATAATCCCAGTCCCTCTTTCTGAGCTAATTAGCAAATAACACTTTGGCGTCGGCAGCAAATTGAAAAGGGGGGGGGGGTGTTATTCGAAAAAAAAAAATCAACTCTGCAATGGAAATTCACCTACAGCGGACATACATTGTATTATTATTATTATTATTATTATACAAAATTTATAGAGCGCCCTATATAATAAACACAATTACTCTAAAGCGCTGTACATCATAGTTAAAATACATTCATAAAAACAACATCAGGAATAAAAATTTTGTTGAATAGCATAAGAAAATAAAATTAAGTATTGATAACCATTTTAAAAATTAAAAATATTTTTGCAAAATGATGATTAAACAATATCAAAACACGAAAAGAGAAAACTGCATACAATAGAGCATAAGAAATTTCAGAAGATTAAAAATAACCAAAAATTAAAAGTCAGAAATCTTTAAACATAAATAAATAAATAAATAAAAATAGTCTATATTTGACACTTAAAAATAAAAATTTAACGGAATGCTTCCCTAAAAAGATGAGTTTTCAGATGTTTTTTAAAAGTGTTCAAAGATGGGCATATAACCAAATGTGGAGGTAAAGAGTTCCAGAGGGATGCAGCGGCCACGTCAAAACGTCTATTCCCATAGGTTGATGTTCGGCAGTGTGGTCTTTGCAGTGACAGCTTGTTTGCCGATCTAAGGGAACGACCAGGTTGATATACGTTGATGAGCTCTGCAATGTATTTTGGTGCTATGTTGTTGATTGCTTTGTAAGTATAAATAAGAATTTTGTACTGGATGCGTTTGTCAATTGGAAGCCAATGAAGGGAAACAAGGATCGGAGTAATGTGCTCCCTCTTCCTGGAACGAGTAATAATGCGTGCAGCTGTGTTCTGTATTCTTTGTAATTTGGCTATTTCGGTTGCATTTATGCCATAGAGGAGAGCGTTGGCATAGTCGAGCCTAGATGTCACAAGAGAACAGACCAGGGTCTTGCAGGCATCCTCTGTAATCAATGGACGTATTCTCCCAATGTTCCTAAGCTGGTAATAGCATGCACGAGACACCGAGGAAATTTGCATTTGCATGCTAAGAGACTTATCAAACCACACCCCGAGGTTCTTTACACTGGTCGCCTCTCTCACGATGGTGTCACTAAAGTTCAGATGGTAAGATGGAGACTCCTTGAGTTGTTGTTTCGGAGTAAAAACTATAAATTCTGTTTTGTCCTGGTTTAGTTTTAGCATGTTGGAACACATCCACTGCTTGATTTCTTCCAGGCATGTTCCAAGTCTCAAAGCGGTATTATTCCAGTTGTTCCTGGGTTTAAAGACCAGATAAGCTTGGGTATCATCAGCATAACAATGATGGTGTATGTTGTTTTTGGAACATATGTTACCAATAGGTCTGGAAAAAATGGAATATAACCTTGGACCCAACACAGATCCTTGTGGTACACCACATCTAAGATGGTAGTCCCTGGAAAAAGAAGATCCAATAGCAATTTTATGTGTCCTTCCTGATAGGTACGACTTGATCCATGCGAGGGCCGAGCCAGATATGCCAAAACCAATTTCTAGTCGATTTATCAGAATGGAGTGGTCGATGACATCAAAAGCTGCAGATAGGTCTAACATAATTAATGCCACACATGAACCAGAATCTAAATTCTGTAACTGTAACTTCATAGAATTAACTAGATGAGTTTTAATGAGTCGCTCTACAAATTTGAAAGGATTATAATGTGTTCTTTTACTATAAATTACCTATGACTTATACTATACCTTACTATGACTTCCCCAAAACTACGATTTTCTTAATTTTATTTGTTAATTTCGATACAAAGATATATGCTGTTTAGGCGACTTCTGTTATATACCTATAATATTAATATATTATTAGTTAAAATGTTTAACCTGTGTTCCCTACAGAGAAAATGACAGCAAATTGCATTGAAATAATAAACAATTTTTGTAAGAAGCATGCAGATTAAATTAAAATAACTTAATTTTCACAACTGTAAGCATCCCAAGTCTTCGCGAGGTCTGAAGCGGATGTGATATTGCCACTCTCCCTCTCTCTCTCTCTCTTTTTTTTTTGGGGGGGGGGTAGGGTGTAGAATACTAAGATTCACATACTTCCAGTATGATTTACATTTAACAAAAAGAAGTGAACTGTACATCCCTTTTGTTCTATTATATCACAAGGGGATCCCCTCCTTCACAATATCTTATTTTTTGACTTTTTCGATTATATATCAATCGGAACATCACACTCGGTCTTTTCCGTCAAGTCGATCGAGAAAAAACGTTTTTTCTCGACTTGACGGACACTGCCGTGTTTTGTTCCGATTGTATCGATTATAGGAATAGGTCACAGCTAGGCGCTTCTTAGTGTTATGTATAATACAGGACATCAAGATAAGTACAGATGCCCTGTTTGTATACATAACAGCTGACATAGTCAGGTAGCATTTGAAGAGATATAATTATGTCAGCATTGACAGGCAGACAGACGTATTTGAACAGAAATTGACGTAAAACGACGGATAATACACATGTAGGTGCTAGGGCCTACCTTCTGTACAAATGCTGATGAGGGAGAAACAGAAAAAAAAAAAAACAAATTTCACCGGAAAAAATAATAGGAGTCATACCTATTAAAACCGAAACGATAAGCAATAGAAAACCCGGTCTGATCTGATTTTTGTATCCCGTTGAAAAAGGGGGGGGGGGTATTTCTGTTTGTCTGTCCAGCTGTAGAAATGTATTTTTGTGTCTGTAGCACTTTTGTTTAGAAGTACTACGCGATATATCGACAAATCGTTGAGCTTTTACAAACGAAGACCCCTATCAGACAGGCAATTTGCAACAGGGGGTTGGGTTTAGGTGCAGGGGGTCCGCACTTTCTTTTTATTGAAATGTTCATTGAAAGGTTGCTTTGCCCTCACCTACCCCCATGTATACATAAAGTACATGTATGCATTTATTTTCAAAAATGTAATCCATTCACAAAGAAATATATGTCCAAAGCATGAAAATTTGTTTTCAATGTACTATCTTTATTTAAGTTACTAAACAATTCAAAACAGCAGAGGTTCACAGGCTGTATTGGTCACCCGAGTATTACTAGGTTCTCTATACATGACTATCTCAGACCCAGCTGGGCAAGAGAGACAACTAATAATTTACTTATTTAGTTAAAGATTTATTCATAGTTCATTGTCACCATGTATAAGGCATATACATGAAGATTGTTCTGCAAGATGTCCAAAAGTGAATAAAATTTTAAAAGGATACTAGTACATGAATTGTCAAAAAGTGACCAGTCCTTATACTTAGATATAATACAACCTATATGTCTTTAGAGCAAAATCATTATATACTGAAGGGTGTGGAGCATAGGGAATTAAAATACAATATGTAAAATTGTTGGTTCTATTCTGATCTACATTTTTTAAAATCGATTTTGTAAGAGACAATGTTCAAAATTCAATGAAACACAGGACACAAAATGTCTTTCAGAGATCTAGAGGATCATAAAATTCCTTATACACTGTATACATAAAAAAACAACATATTTTTAAACATAAATATTTGCAAGTAAACATTTGTAAATAAAAATCCTGGCAGATGGTAGCTGTATTTGATCAGAGAAACAGAGAAGGCTGTAATATTACATAACATTTTGACCCACTGGATCACAATTAAAATAATCTACATAAGTACAGGTGTACATGTATGTATAACCTATTCTATCCAATACTCACACATTCTGCTATGCATTATAACACAACACCAAATAAAACACAACTGTACAATCGATCATTGGTGAATTAAATTCTAAATAACTCTACAAATCTACAATTACACACATATTTTTTCCATTTATGATGTTTCAGCACAGATATTGTTACAATATATTACAGCACTTTTTTATCCTGTTGATTTCTCTGGTCCAGAAATTCAACTTTTATTGAGGAAATAACCTTAGTGACACACATGAGAATGCTTCAATGATGACACAACATCAGATCTACAGTTACAAATGGTACAGAGTGGAACTGAACTCTGCAGTGATGCTTTTAGAATGGTATGATAGCTTGGTGGGATGAGATGATGTAGCGTTTATCACAGATTTTGATAGAAAGACATGAGGGCAGTGGGGGCCGCTATTGGCAGCGCTTCAGTAGTGTCGTCCTGGCAGCCACCAGAAGTTTGAAGGCTTCCTCACTCCCAGGGGCCACGCTTTTGTCTGGGTGGAGCAGGACCGCCAACTTCCTGTACGCACGATTTACATCATCCCTAAAAATAGATAATTCATAGATATCAATGTGAAACAGGGAACATACTGCTGTTTATAAAATTATCATATTCAGGTAAAATAAAAAGCAAATTAAAGAACTCATTATTATTTATGTACAAGCCTGATTAGTTTACCATTATATATCATGATTATGTAACAGTATGCTCTCTATTAATGTATGCTATATAAATGAACATTGTCTGAGTTACTGCATACATATACTCTTTGGGTCACCACATAATCAAGTATAAGCTAGATGCTTGATATATTCTAATGAAGTAATGAAAAAATAAAAATTTAGTCAATTGTGTGCATGTTCTAAATAGTTTACCACAATCAAATATATAAATCTGCGGCTTGAATTATTATAAAAGTCACCATACTGAAGAAAGCTTGAAGCTAATGAAATACGAATTGTCACCCTGACCACTTGAGCTTCATGAGGTTGATGAAAACTTAGAGCCTGGTGCTTGATATATTGTATGATCACCACAAACTTCGAGCCTGGTGCTTTATATATTGTATGATCACCACAAACTTAGAGCCTGGTGCTTGATATATTGTATGATCACCACAAACTTAGAGCCTGATGCATATCGTATGGTTACCACAAACTGGTGCTTGAAATATTGTATGATCACCACAAACTTAGAGCCTGATGGATGATATATTGTATGATCACCACAAACTTAGAGTCTGGTGCTTGATATATTGTATGATCACCACAAACTTAGAGCCTGTTGCATGATATATTGCATGATCACCACACCACAAACTTAGAGCCTGGTGTATGATATATTGTATGATCACCACAAACTTAGAACCTGATGCATGATATATTATATGATCACCACAAACTTAAAGCCTGTTGCATGATATATTATTTGATCACCACAAACTTAAAGCCTGTTGCATGATATATTATATGATCATCACAAATTGACAGCCTGCTGCATGATATATTGTATGATAACCACAAACTTTGAGCCTGCTGCATGATATATTGTATGATCACCTCAAACTTAGTAGGGCTGTATCAATATATCGATATGTATCGATATTCAAGAAAAATATTGCATCGAAAAGTAACTTCCAATACGTATCAGACAGATATTTTTTCTTCAAATTCTGTTTAAAAATGGGAATTTCAATCACCAAAGATCATATTTTACTTTTTTGAATTAAAACCTTCAATAATTATATAATTTCTAAGGAACTAACACTATTTTTTTATAATTATTACATAATACAAAGAGAATTTTTTTTTGAACTTGTTGATTTTACTGTCATCAAAAGTTTTAATTGAAGTGTTATTTTTAAAGGCAATGAGACAAGAACTTTAAAATGGGTAATAAAACACTTAATTGTTATGAAATGTATGCATTAAAGTGATTTAGAAGCCTTTTCTGATGGACTTGTTTCAAAATCCAATACATTGCATATCGCTTTAAAAAATATTGTATTGTATCGTCTTGAAATTTTTGGCTCAATACACAGCCCTATAACTTAGAGCCTGGTGCTTTATTTATTGAATGGTCACCACAATCTTTTGGTTCTTGATATTTTGTTTTGTTATCACAATGAAACTAATTAACTTGTATGGGAGCTTCATATATTTTAAAGTATTGAAAACCAAACACAAGTAAGCCTGATGTTTAATACAATCTAAAGTACCATCATCAAGAAATTTGAAATGAATTCCAGTATATAGATATAACTGTTGTACTAAGAGCAGGGAGAACACAATCAAACAAACCTTGGTCAGGACATATGTGAGTACATGTACCTGTTTTACTCTCAGATCAGCACACAACATATCACTTATCTTTGTGCCTTATACAATTATTGATTGTCAAACGCATTATATTTTGATCTCAGTCTCTTTTTTTTCCAAAGGAATAAATAGTGGAAAAGTGAGACTGAGATCAAAAGTGAGCTTGTCTAAGTTTTATGGCCCCCAGGCCAGCACTTTAATAACTTTGTGCCTCAAATTTACAGTTGATTGTCAAAAGCAAGCATTATATATGTATGGAATCTGATATGTAATTGGTTAATGCATATAGAGCAAGGATATTGGTGACAGAATAGAATATATACAAGTCCGGTAATGTCTTTTCATGGTGTCCTATATAATCAGACTCAAGCAAGCTTGGAAAACCTATGTAAACTTGACACAAATCATAAAAAAAACACCAAATTTGGTTAAAATAAGTCACAAAACCATTCACAAATTGAAACGTTTTGAAATCCTTAACAATATGTGTAAAATATACAGTACCGGTAAGTTATATAAAATAACTCATTTTTATCTTTTTTAAAAAATATATCAATTACATGTATGCTTACATGATTAACCATTCGTATATTCTATTTTTTGCTTAAGGAAAACCCCAAATTTCTATCCAATAGGATTAATAGATACCTAACCCCCACATTTCCACATAATATTTATATATGCAAGAAGTGCATTGACTGTTCACATTTTTCTAATTCATGTATAAATTTGCAAACATGCATCTTAAATAAAAACAAAAGTGTTAGTACATCCAAACCTAATCAAAAGCATTATAAATGAAAAGAGTTGCTGCTAATACATTTGAAAAATTGGTGCACAAAATAAAATAAAGTAAAAAAATAAAATAAAGTAATAAAAAAAATAAAATAAAGTAAAATGTTAATCTCTAAATCCTGTTTGGAGGGAAAAAGAAATAAAATTAAAGTATCATGTTTTCATGTGGGTTTCAAGATTTCAGCATTTGTACCTACAGGGAAGTATACTGTATACAGGGAAATATTCGCCCCTATTTTTTTTTCGCCCCTTTCGCCATTACATCGTTTGGGCGAATTTAAAAAGGGGCGAATTCAAAATAAACAATATATTTTCTTAAACAAAACGGTGACTGGGCGAATTTAAAACAGGGCAAAATTAGTTGCAAGTGTGAAAGGGCGAAAATAAAACGGGGCGAAAATAACCCTGTATACAGTATTTTACTGCATGAGCCAGAAAAGGCCCAGGGGCCACAATGCTCACCAAAGTTACATCTCTCTATTTGCCATTATGAATATAATAACCCATCTTCACTAATACTACATCATTGAAGAAAGTTTGAAAAATATAACTTATAAAAAAATTTTGACATATAAAAAAACCCAGTTTTTTTAATTTGAAGATTGAAGTCCATATTCCTGTGTGAAACTAAGAAACTTAGGTACAAAAACTTGACTTTAATGATGTGTTTATTTTTTTGGCACATTTGGTTGAAATCAGCCGAAAGTGGTTTCAGGGGTGAAAGAAGATATTACAATCACATTCAGAGAAGCTGATTAATGATGACATCAATAGTCAAACTTAGGTGAACCTCATACTATGATGGCATTCAATTCAATATTTGAAAGTATCACATTCTGGTATGTATATGTTTTTATAACCATAAATCTCTGTCGAGACTGAAGCTCTACTGGTTTGAACTTATAGCAAAGGAAGAGTAAAGTACTTAAGCAGCTGGGATTTGAAACTTTTAATACAACAGCAATAAGTAGAATAATGATCATTGACAAAGTCTCTTTATGTTCTTAGTGTAGTCTACTTGTGTGCCAAGTTATATTGAAATCAGACCAAAACTGTAGAAGGAGAAGCATTTTGAAACAATTTTACAGACATTTCTATTTTTAATAACCACGGCAACACCGTTCATCAAAATTAAAATTCGATACACAGAATTATGTATCTTAATGTATTCTACTTGTGTGCCAAGTTATATTGAAATCAGACCAAAACTGTAGGAGGAGTAGCATTTTAAAAGAATTTCATGAACAGAAATTTCTATTTTTAGTAACCACGGCAACACTGTTCATCGAAATCATAAACCGATACACAGAATTATGTATCTTAGTGTAGTCTACTTGTGTGTCAAGTTACATTGAAATCAGACCAAAACTGTAGGAGGAGTAGCATTTTGAAAGAATTTCACAGAAATTTCTATTTTTAGTAACCATGGCAACTCCGTTCATTGAAATCAAAAACCGATGCACAGAATTACGTATCTAAGTGTATTCTACCTGTGTGTCAAGTTATATTGAAATCAGACCAAAACTGTAGGAGGAGTAGCATTTTAAAAGAATTTCACAGAAATTTCTATTTTTAGTAACCATGGCAACACTGTTCATCAAAATCAAAAACCGATACTCAGAATTATGTATGTTAGTGTATTCTGCTTGTGTGTCAAGTTATATTGAAATCAGACCAAAACTGTAGGAGGAGTAGCCTTTTAAAAGAATTTCACAAAAATTTCTATTTTTAGTAACCACGGCAACATCGCTCATTGAAATCAAAAACCGATATACAGAATTATGTATCTGAGTGTATTCCACTTGTGTGCCAAGTTATATTGAAATCAGACCAAAACTGTACGAGGAGTAGCATTTTAATAGAATTTCACAGAAATTTCTATTTTTAGTAACCAGGGCAACACCGATCATCGAAATCAAAAGCCGATACACAGAATTATGAATCTTAGTGTATTCTACTTGTGTGTCAAGTTATATTGAAATCAGACCAAAACTGTAGGAGAAGTAGCATTTTAAAAGAAATTCAAAGAAATTTCTATTTTTAGTAACCACGGCAACACTGTTCATCGAAATCAAAAGCCGATACACAGAATTATGTATCTTAGTGTAGTCTACTTGTATGCCAAGTTATATTGAAATCAGACCAAAACTGTAGGAGGAGTAGCATTTTAAAAGAAATTCACAGAAATTTCTATTTTTAGTAACCACAGCAACACCGTTCATCGAAATCAAAAACTGATACACAGAATTACGTATCTAAGTGTATTCTACCTGTGTGTCAAGTTATATTGAAATCAGACCAAAACTGTAGGAGGAGTAGCATTTTAAAAGAATTTCACAGAAATTTCTATTTTTTGTAACCACGGCAACACTGTTCATCGAAATCATAAACCGATACACAGAATTATGTATCTTAGTGTAGTCTACTTGTGTGTCAAGTTATATTGAAATCAGACCAAAACTGTAGGAGGAGTAGCATTTTAAAAAATTGTTTACAGACAGACGGACAGACGACGGACGCCGGACGCATTACTATCGCATAAGCTCTTCTGGTCTCTGACCAGTAGAGCTAAAAATCAGAAATCTGTAACAAGACTGCAGCTCTACTGGTTTGTGCTTGGTGTATCTTGGTATGGTCTACGTTCTTGTTTATTATTGAAATCTTAGTCTTGCTGACTGAGACTGTGGGAGTAGTTTTTAGAGAGAAATTATTCACAGAAATTTTATTTTTTGTAATCATGGCTATACCATTTCTTGATGTAAAAAAAAAAACCAGTCAATAGAATTATGTGGTATCTAGGTATATACATATATTACTTCTGTATCCAGTTATACTGAAATTGGTCCAAAACTAAACGTTGAGTAGTGTTTTGATAGAATTTCACAAAAAAATTCTATTTTTAGTATCCATGGCAACACTAATGACTATTGTCATAATCAATGCACAGAATATTAGTAGAGTGTATTGGTTACTTAACTGAACTGCAACTGTTTAAAAAATTGTTAAGGAATTAACAGACAGATAAACAGACACTTTATCATTGCATTTACTCTTCTAGTCTCTGACTAGTAGAGCTAAATATTGATATTTATAAAATATTTCAAGTTTATAGGTATTAATATACCGTATCCCTGATTAATGCAATAACATATTTTTTTTTACAAATAAAAAAGCCAATTTTTATCAGCAAGAGGAATATGTTGAGCAAGAAAAAAGGAGTTTTTTCAGCTGTTGTGCAATAATGATGTCTTAATTAGACGTTATAATTAAACAGAGTCATCTACAGTACACCCAGCTTCAACAGAAGAGACAGGAAACTAGAGAGTTACCTCAACGAAAAGGAAAGGATTCCAAGGAGCTAGACAAAGGTTAAAGGTCACAATTAAAATAACTGTAGCATTCTCTACATGAAGATTTTCAAAAGACAAAGATTACAATGAGTATAAATTTTATTAACAACTTATCTACAACCCTAGTCACTTTATACCTTTAGATTAAGTTTTCTAAAATAGTTGCCTTGAAACTGTACTGTGTACATAATTTATAATTTTCTGAGATGACACAATATTCATTGTGATAAACATTTTCGTGTGTTTAAACTATGGAACATGAAACAGACTTCAAATTATCCCCCTTAACACTCCACAAGATGTTCGTTTAATGATGTAATAAAACCAGTGGACAACCAAGGGAATTTAATGATCTAACCAAGGTCGCCAAAGGTCATAAACACAACCTGTTCATTAATTTTTTATTTCTTTATTTTTTCCCCCAATAAACCTATTTTTCTTTTACAGTAAAAAGTGCACATAACTTGTAACAAGAAATGTACATGAAGTAACAAGGAGAGGCATTTTTCTTCATTATAAAGTTATATAGATAATTTTGCGACATGATTTAAGGCCATTATGAAATGAAAATCACTTCACTATAAGAATGAATTTATTATAAGCATGCATGATTGTTTGAGGGTGTTTTATATTTTCCTTTACTTTTATTTTCTGAGCTTTTAGATCAGGGCAAGCAAAAAAAGTGTCATTAAATTCCCCTACATAACAGTCTAGCCTCCCTTTAGAACATTCATGAAATAAGAGACTGTTTTCTTCAGCTTAGTAAAAAGTAAAAAAGGCGTTAACATCATTCCATGCATAACATATTTTGTAACTCATACTTAGAAGCTGCATGCATTTTCACATCTATACAAACCTTAGTCAGAAGCAAACAGTGATTTAAATTAGTTTCTCTTAACGATTTGAGCTCAAGCTTTTCATTATTAAATCGTGATACCTGGGTAAATTCTAGTTTACATCCTATCCGTTAGTGGTGGCTCCAAGGGTGGAGTTTATACTGTATTAACAAGATCATATATTGTTAGAAATAGGTACGGAATTCATTAAAAATCTGTACTATCAGTAAAAAAAATAACAAGCAATGCATCTCCTCAAAACTTCTCCCCCCCCCCGGAAAAAAAAAACAGTGGCCCTTAATTGTGCTGCTAAATTTTCCAATTCACTTTCCTCTTACTGAAAAAAACTTCTGAATCAGTAACCATCTAATATGCCTACTTTGTAATTTGAGAATGATTGTCATGATAAAGATTTCTTGTACGCCTTTTACTGATTTCCTACTTTAAATATCCATGTGCTGCAGTTGCACGTGAATCTTTTCCATTTTTTTTGCAGGCATGCAACAGTTGACTCACAGAATATAGATTAAAATGAAACCATAATAGCCTCATATTAAATTTCTGAGGTATGAACCAAAATAAGATCTAAAGGGATATTTAATATATACATGTAAATTATATATTCAATGTCATAAAAGAGTAGTTCTTAATAAAGATCTCAAAACTGAAGCATTTGGATTTTTTTGAGAACAGAGTACCAGTAGAATTTCATTAGCTGGCCTACATTCATGAGTTTGGACTCAATACTACAGACACCAATTTACATGACTTACCTTGTAGCAGTTTACATGACTCATATTAACGTGACTTATGTTTATGTGACTTATTTTACGTGACTTACTTTGTAGCACCTGGAGGCAGTCCCAGTCTCTCATAATCGTTTTTTGCATTGCGGAGTTTCTGAATGGCATCCACCTGCTCCTTTGAGTAGCCAAGTGTGGTCTGTACTGGGACTCGCTTTCCTCCGTTCTCAAAAGCCGTGACAACAGACTCAAACAGCGTCTGTAAAATACAGATAATAAACTGAGCATAAACACAAACAATGTCTGGAAATAAAAGAACATGAAATCATGAAAATTTCTGTAAAACTGAAGTAAACAATCATTCGTAAAGCTAAAGTGTGGTTTTTCTGGGCCTCACAAAATAATGGTACAAACCTGGAACATTTCTGACACACCCTCTCCCGTCTGGGCTGACGTCTCAAAGTAATGGTAGCCCTTGGTCTCTGTCCAGATTCTGGCCTCAGCTTCATCCACCACCCTCTTCTTATCCGACTGAAAAACAATTTATCTCCAGTTATTCACCCTTGTTCTCCATGTACCAATACAAATCTCTGTGACTCACTATGTACAGCAATAATTTATACAGAAAGTCAAATCTTGCCATAAGCAAATTTTGTGGGATAAAATATAAGGGAGAAATAACCATTGCTATGAGAATCAATTCTTTAACGTTAAACCAATGTTTCATCTAAAAAGTGCTACTTCTAGGCTCTAACTTGGTCTGAATGGTGAGAGTACTCTGTCTGCTTTAACTTCATTTTAATTTACTTCTGCTAGAAAATTTATATATCATTACCGATTCATTTTGTGAACAGAGGATTTCATTTTTCTATTTTACCTTCAAATGCCTAGCAATTGACACATATTTCTCTGAGCATGAAGGTCCACAGATTTATTTACCTTGTTAGCACAAACACACACGACAACGTTGTCCATTTCTGACTGGTTCCCAATTTCATTCTGCATTTCCAGCATCCAGCTGTCAAGTGCGTCAAAACTCTGTCTATCGTTAACGTCAAATACGACCACAGCTCCCTGTGTGTCCTTATAAAACTCATTCCGCACCTGTAAAATAATAAAAACACAATTACAGCTCCCTGTGTAATAAAACACAACTTACAAAGGGTTGGAAAAAAGCTGTGTATTAATATGAAGGCTTTACCTCGTAAAATATGGGATGTCCAGCCATATCAAAGATGTTCACCTTAATTTCTCTGTCTCTGACCGTCACTCTGTAGTCAAATTAAACGAAGGAAATGTAATCTCATAAAATATGAAATGCTGTATAAAATATTGATGCACATTTAGAGAGCACTGAATCTTATACTTACTTTGTTACCCCATAATCAATCCCTATAGTGGCTAGGTACTTGTGAACAAACCTCTTCTCACAATATCGCTTAATGATGCAGCTCTAAAAGTAAAATTGAAATAGTAAGATCTAGTATTTAAAAAAATAATTTAATTAAATACATTGTGCTCCGATAAAGCCCATATATTGAACTAATTCATTATTATTATAATGAAAATGAGCAAAAAATGAGCTAAATACAGAGAAAAATTCAAATTGAAATATTTTGGATATGTAAAGCAAAGTTTTGCTATAAACCTTCCAAGAAATACTTTGCTGGCAGCATTCAATGAAATTATTGCAAATATAACAGGCCCCCAGATATTGTAAAGATTGTTCTTACATGGAGCTAAAAGGAACAAAAAAACTATAATACATGCATCTACAAATGCCTTTCATAAAATAAATGGTAAATTTGGTAATATAGGCCTAATTAGACCCAGTTATGGAAATATGCAGCTTACATTTGACATCACAGTCTTAACAGTGTTTTGTGCACTTGTAAAGAGTTAGATCAAAGTTTATATAAGGGTAACTTTTGTAAAGTTTTTGATGGTACAGCAGTTATTTGTCAACTGCATGTACTTGCTGGAGTGGTAACTAATGATCATGCCATATCTTAAATATAAACAATACAGGCAGACACAATATATGCCATTATATGGTTCTAAAAATATTATCACATATATGAATAAATATTAATTAACTTCAGTAACAACATAGTAACAGTGTCTCTGGACAAGCCCTCGTCAAACTGCAGGTCCGATGAGAACGGGTGCTAGTCACTGCGGGTTCCATGTTCGTTTGCCCTAAAAATTGTTCGCCCGATATCCCGTTCGCCCGATTTTTGGTTCGCCCAGAGTCCGTTCGCCTGATTTCTCGTTCGCACAGGGCACCCCAGATTATATAGAATATAAGTGGTAAAACCTTCAAATGCTCATTTATATAAGGGATCTATTAACGCGGTCCCTTAATTGTTGTCAAAACATAGCCCAATTCGTAAAAACAACCCCCCCCAAATAACATTGATAATAGTCAGTAATTAACTATCGGACAAACACTATTTTAAAAATGCATTTCAAATCAAAAATTAATTAAGACTAAATAAACATTGTTCCTGGTTTGAGAAAAAATAACCCAACTTCGCAAAGGAAATGTTAATCTTTATTTCAAATAAGTTAATATATATAAGTATATATAATATAATATATAAGTCATCAAAGTAACTTCTGAATTTCAAACAAAGGTTAATTATGGCTGTAAGATTGAAGACCGGTCACTGCGCCCCAAAACCAGAATGCCCCGCCATGTATGAGCACCCCAAATATTTTTACGAGACAGATTTCTAAATCTTCTCTTATTTTACGTTTTAAACGACAGTAACCCCATAGGACAATACATTTTTAAAATAACAAAAAAAAAAAACAACCAAAAAGAAAAAAAACAAAAGATAAAACAAAACGCTCAACATAGTAAAAACATTGTCATCAAAGTGACTTCTAAATTTCAAACAAGGGTTCATTATGGTTGTAAGATTGAAGACCAGACTGAACAACTCAACACTGTCCAGAGACAGATTTGCTCTTCTCTTTTAGTTTTACAGACATTTTTTATCATGTTTATGGAGGTCAGATTACATCATACCTTTCCTGTCTCAGCGTTCCCCATGCTGATTATTTTTATTCTCAGCGGCTTTTTCGACTTCTTGTCCATTCCTGTCATCTTTAATTTTTTACCAAACCTCAACTATCATGTGTAAGTTGTAAACACAAAAAAAATATTTACATGTCATCATATAATGATCAGAATTTCTTTCGTTTCTCTATCACGGTAAATATGTATAACTTTCATGGTAACAAACATCTGATTAAGATTCACAAAAGTCTACTTCAAATATCTTCTCTTCATTCCCCCAAATATTAATCTTGCAGATAACTCTTGAAGCTGAAAGCGTCTTTGGCAACTCAAAGCAAGGGAGCGGAATTTCACTTCCGCAGATAATATCTCAGGTAATTTGATTGGATAAGCAATGGAATTGAAAGAAATTGATAGCTTGTTCTTATAATATTCGAATTTTATTCATTCGTCCGATTTTCCGATCATATATTTATTCATTTCCCGTTTTTATTCCCCCGTAAATGAAGTTTTGGGGATTATATAGTTTTTGTCGTGTCTGTCTATCTCTCTGTTTGTCCGCAACGCAAAATTTTGAAATCATGGGCGTCAGAAGCAAATCGAAAGGGCGGGGGAAGAGGGGGGAAAAATCCCAATTTCCATTGCCTATATAACGCAAATATTTGCATTTTTAAAACGTGCTAATTTCAGCAAATTTTTACACTTATTTTAATGAAGGTATTTAGACACGCCTAGAAAAAACACATAATACACAAAATACATTTATATAACACTTCAGAAACTGAAATTTGCTGTTTAAATTTTTTTTTATATTTATCTGTTAAAATATCCTCATGACATGAAAAAAAATGCATGCGACAATGCCGATTGCATAATGCATGTACAGTTTTATATGTATAGGCAATATAAACTATGCAATAGTCCTCTGAGTCTCTGCACTCAGTTTGGTACAACTTGCTGTTTAAGTAGTTTTTACATTAAAAGTACAAAACTAAAGTTTAAACTAAGCTATAGTTTGATTAATAAAAACGCAACAAATATTTAACATGTGGGGCTCCTCGCTCTCTCTTATAGGAGGTTAACCCCCCCTCCCCCAACTCCTTCAAGATCCACCGCTACACTTCTTCTGTTTTGGTGTTGAGATGTGGCGGGAAAATGTTTGGCACATTGTAAAACGCGCTCTATCCTAGTTTCCTAGACCAACATGTCTTAATTTTCTTTGCTTTTAAGAAATCAATATTTCATCAGATTTTTGAAAAATATCCATAGGAAGTGTTTAGATATACATTTCATTTCAAATTAATACAGCAGATCCTGTTTTAAAAAGAGAAAGTAAAATTGTTTATTTACAACGTGGTCTTTGTTTTTATTTAGACTATGCCTTACACTCCTACTAATTTTCTCCGCACTTCAGTTACATCAGAGTTTGTCAATCAGGATTGGATGAAATATTTACCCCATTATTTATAAAATTGAATTTTACGATTATTGTGCTTTTTCCTCAACATTGAGAAATCTTTGTTTGATATTAAAACGCCGGCGATATGATGTTGAATATTTTTATTTAAATTGTTAGCTCCGCAGAAACGCACAGGGACTTAAAACTTTCTTCTATCAAATCAAAGTACTGAGGGATCATATTGAGATGACTTAGGTCACGTGATTCCATTCAACCAATCAGTGCTTAGTGTAACGCGATTCCAAACAAGACACGTTATTTTTTCGACAAGGATTTTCAGTCAATTTTGGATTATTTATAGTGTTTATCGAACTGATAATGCTGTATTTTCAGCTATAGCAATACGAAGTTTTTGTTTATTTTGACACTTCGTGTCATTTCACCTTCGTTTGCTTGTGTTTTGGGTCAAAATCTTTGACCCTTAACGAGTGCATTGTTTACTAACAATGGCGAACTTGGCCAATGAACCTAATCGTTTGAATAGCGATGCTGTCTTCGACAGTTTGGTTGCGGGAGTTCAATCCCATAATGACAGAAATCAATTCTTGTCCATTGTTGTGCCTGAAGCTGCAAGAGAAGAAACAGTTCAAACTGTTCAGAGTGATTGTGTAGTGGGCGGAGCTCCGCCTGCTTTCCCGCCATCGATGTTGATGGACGCCCAGAAGACCCAGAATGCCCTGCGCCAAACAAATATGGCTGCGCCCATGGACGAAGACGATGATGATGATCATGTGCAATGGAAAAAACTGTTTTTTCAAAACCAAAGTATACTTAATCATCTCATGCGACAAAGACCATTGGTTAATACCACTGAACAGCCTGTTTCTAAGAAACGCAAGGCACGTATTACCATTCTGGCATAAAACAATATTTTCAGCAGTAGTTGTGCAGCCAAAAAATTTCACAATTAAAATAGAAAGGCAATATTCAAAACAATATTATAAATAAAATCAGATTAAAAACTCTGTTATTGAGAGATCTAACACTGAAAGATAATATGATGTAGTTTACATGGATAATTGTGTTTTCAGGTCGCAAATGAGCCTGATGAACTTACATCGGACAATGATGACGAAGAAACTCTTGATGACCTGATATCCAAAGTGCAAAAGGACAAAGACGAGGACAAGGATGAAGAGGATTTCTTGGAATCATTAGAAGAGTTTATGGTAAAAGATGACAAAACAGGACCAGCTCTAAGTGCTGAGTTAGCAAAAGTTATCAACACAAATTTCCAAGTAAGACCATCTGAAGACAAGGCAAAAAAAAAAAATTTGTGTGAAAAACACAACAGACCCAAAAACTGCTCTAACATGACGGTGCCCCGTATCAATGAAGAAATATGGCCATCCTTAAAGAAAAAGGCTCAGTCAATAGATTTTAAAATTTAAAAATCCCAAACAATTGTGTTAAAAGCTTTGAGCCCTGCTTGCAGACTGTTAGATAAATTGATTTCGGCAAGAAAATCAAAAACATCTGAAGCCACAGATATGAAGGAATGCCTTGAACTAGCACAAGACACAGTAAAATTGTTGCAATTAGCTTTTACAGATTTATCTCACAAACGGAGATATTTAATCCGGCCAGAATTGAAACAGAGTTATAAACCTCTGTGCAATGATTCGAACAAGGTCACAGAATTCCTCTTCGGGGACAACGTAGATGAAAAAATCAAGAAAATTGATACCTCGAAGAAAGTGAGCAAAAAACTCCAAGGATACAGTTTTCAAGGGTCATCTGCAGGAAAAAATCAGGGAAGCCATCAGAAATCTTATGGATCTGGCTACAGATTTAGTGGAAAACCCCAGACACATGGCACCTACTCCCATTCCTACAAATATGACCAAAACAACAATGGGTCTTTTTTAGGGAAAGGCAGGGGCAGGAGACCACCTCAAACCCAACAGAAGAAGTAGACAATTCTACTCAACCAACAATCACAGACATAGCTCATCTTGACCATTCTGTAAGTACAGTTAATAGTGAGGAAAAATGCAACATTCTTGAAAAATTTCATAACACACCTGAAAATTTCTATGGTGGAAAAATTTGTTCTTATATTGACAAATGGAAGGAATTAACATCAGATAGGAAAATTCTTAAAACTGTACTAGGATATCAACTTGACTTAATACAGTCTCCTTTGCAAGATAGGGTTCCTCATCAAATAAGGTTCTCTCCAGAAGAAATGATTGTCATTGATACAGAAATTCAAAAACTCCTTGACAAAAAAGTGATTGAAAAGACAGAAAGAATGGAAAATGACTTCATTTCAAACATTTTTACTAGGAAAAAACATGATGGAACTTTTAGATTAATTCTAAATTTACAAGATTTGAACAAGGATGTAGAATATCACCACTTCAAAATGGAAACAATAAAAAGTGCTTTGTGTTTAGTAAAGCAAGATTGTTGGTTGGCCTCGGTAGACTTAAAAGATGCCTACTATTCTGTACCAATATATTCCGCAGACAGAAAATTCTTAAAATTCATATGGAGAAATCAGTGTTTTCAATACACTTCTTTACCTAATGGATTATCTTCTGCCCCACGTGTGTTTACAAAACTTTTAAAACCAGTTTTTAGTACATTGAGAAAACAAGGATTTGAAAGTGTACCATATATAGATGACATTTTATTGTTAGGTGATAGTTTTGAACATTGTGCTCAAAATATAGGAAGTACATCAACATTACTTGACAATTTAGGATTTACTATTCATCCTACCAAATCTGTTGTTGAGCCTGTGCAAGAAATAGCATTTTTAGGATTTCTCATAAATTCTAAGAAAATGATCGTTTCTTTATTGCAAGACAAAGCAAAAGATATAAAGGATCTAGGGTCTAAATTTATTATCAAACATGAAATCGTGATAAGAGAGTTGGCGCAGCTTATTGGAAAAATGGTTGCGGCTTCACCAGCTGTCCAACATGCACCTCTACGATACAGAAATCTTGAAATTTTCAAAGATAATATGTTACGACAAAATAGAGGAGATTTTGACAAAAAGATTCTTTTGACCGTTGAATCTATTAAGGACATTTCATGGTGGTGTGATAATTAGAGCTGGGTATCGCGGCTGAAAAATCGTATCGCGATATATTGCAATATTATATTTTGTATTGCAGTATATCACAATATAAATTTTTAAATAAATTTTGATTTTCATCAATGTTAAATGAAAACACAAACTGAAATTACATGTATTCTCGAGTTGACATTGCAACTGCCTGATCGCGTTTTGTGTACGCAAGTGGCAAGCTAAGTTTTTTTGTGGCAAAACTTTAAGAATCAAGTTGTAATATTCAGATTCTGCTTTAACATGAAGGGCTTTCATGTAACAGTTGTTGTCTTTTCATCTCTGACAGACATGTCTCTGGTTTCCGATCAAACGTCACGTTCCTTGCCGCCATATTTTACCTTGGAAAGGGCAAATAACTCTTTTTGTAACAATTAATAGCATATCGAACCCGAACCGGTATTTACAAAAAAATACCGCGATACGTATTGTGAAGAACGAAATCGGGATACACCGGTTAACCGGTAATATCGCACAGCACTAGTGATAATATTTGCACAAGTTCAAAGGCCATCCTAATTCCTAATGTAGACATTATTTTAGAAACAGATAGTTCTCAAAAAGGATGGGGAGGTTGTGAAATCAAGTCTGGCAAGAAGACTGGTGGAAATTGGTCATATGAAGAAAAGCTTTATCACATTAACTATCTAGAACTTAAAGCTGTGTTTCTGAGCATTAAGACATTTTGTAGCACATCAGAAAACACACATATACAAGTTAGATTGGACAACATGGTGGCTATGCATTATATAAACAACATGGGGGGCAGAATTCCTGAACTCAATTTGTTAGCTAGGGATATCTGGTTTTGGTGTATAGCAAGAAACATTTGGATAAGCGCCTCTCATATTCCTGGTGTTGACAATGTAGAAGCAGATAGACTGTCACGCACTATTAATGATGATTTAGAGTGGAAACTGAACGAGACTGTTTTTGACAGTATATGTCAAATATTTAACTTAAAAAATGGAATTGACTTGTTTGCATCCAGATTAAATCATCAACTTGATAGATATGTGTCCTTTCTCCCGGACCCGAAGCTATTGGTGTTGATGCATTTTCTTTTCCTTGGAAAAATGACAAATTTTATATTTTTCCTCCTTTCAGTATGCTGGGGAAAGTATTGCAGAAAATTCAGCAGGACAAAACAAATGCAGTAGTGATAGCACCACTGTGGCCCACACAAGCGTGGTTTCCAGCACTTCTGAAAATGATTTATCTGCAACCTTACCTTCTGAACAACAAAAACATCCTTACATTGCCAACAGATCCGAACAGACAACACAGGATTCCAAAGCTGAAGATGGGATGTTTTCCGTTGTCCGGAAACTTCTTCAGGACAGAGGAATATCGGAAGACCTTGCCGTGGTCATTTTCAACTCCTGGAGGAAATCTTCTCAAAGACAATACTGGAGTTATATCAAACGATGGTTGCAATTTTGTGATTCAGGGAAAATTGATTCATTTAATCCAACTGTAAATAATTTTCTTTGTTTTTTACAAACTTTGTTTGACCAAAAATTGTCATATAGTGCAATCAATACAGCAAGATCTGCTGTATCATCATTACTTTCACTGTGTGGTAAAGAAAACTTTGGATCTCATACTCTAATTAAAAGATATTTAAAAGGTGTTTTTGTCAAACGACCAACATTACCAAAGTATAGCTGCACATGGGATGTGTCAATAGTTATAAATTATTTGAAAACATTATTTCCACTTTCAGAATTGTCTTTGAAACTTCTGTCATGTAAAACTCTTATGTTATTAGCTTTATTGACTGGTCAAAGAGGGCAAACATTACATTTGTTAACTGTTGATGATGTAGTTGTAGGAAATGATCATGTAGAAATTAGATATAGTTCTTTGTTAAAAACTTCCAAACCAGGAAAGCATGTAAATAATGTTAAGTTTCTAATGTATGTAGAAAAGGAACTGTGTATTGTGAGGACACTATGTGACTATTTAGAAAGAACAAAATTTATAAGACAAGATAAGAAATTGTTTGTCAGTACTATGAAACCTCATAAGGGTGTTAGCAGAGATACCATAAGTAGATGGATACGTGATACAATGGAAATGTCGGGGATAGACATATCTAAGTTTTGCCCACATTCAACACGGGCAGCTGCTACTAGTGCCGCTCATAAAGCAGGAGTACCAATAGACATTATCATGGAGAAAGCTGGCTGGTCGAGGGGACTTCCGGTGTGGCTGCGCAAATGGCGTGAAGTGAGAAGGAGCAGAGGGTCGTTTTTTCTGTTTTCCTAAGTGAACATTAATATTTGATACGAGGCATTGCAGATAGTTTTCTTAATTACGTGAAGACATTCGTGTTTTAGGTGAATTTCAGGTATTTTCCTCTTTGTTAAATGCAACAGACTGTAAGTCACTACTTTGCACAAGGATATTCGGGAAGCTCGTGCAAGATGCCGAAGAGAAAAGATACGGAGAAGGAGAGTGCGCAAAATGATGAGGTGTCAAATAAAGAGTTAAAGGAACTTTTCTCTAATCTAATACAGAAGTTGGAGAGTTCAATGAACGAGAGGCTTACTGCGCTTGACAAAAAAGTAGAGGAAACGCTGATCGTTATTAAGGAGGAGATAACTGATATGAAAACAGCGCTTCAAAACCAAGATGACCGATTAACTGATTTAGAAAAGCTAAACACAGAGGTTATACAACCCCAAAGTAAAAAGGTAAGCCTTCTTGAGGCTTCTTTAAAAGAACTGCAAGATCATATTACATACCAAGAGTTAAGATCTCGGAAATACAACCTCTTATTTTATGGCATTCCTAAAGCAGAGAATGAAGTTTCAAACGAGGTTATTGTGAAATTTTTGAGTGAAAAATTGGGCATGTCAACAGCAGAGTCTATAATGATTAAAAACTCTCATAGGGTTCCAAAAAACCCCAACAGCAGTTACAAACCTGAAGCACCAGAAGCAGTCATTGTTAAATTCGTTCTTATGGAGGACCGTAATATGATACTAAATCATGCCAGAAACACTACCCTACCGAAAGGCTATGCAATACGAACAGATCTACCCGTGCATTTGAAGAGAAAGAGGGCAGAGCTGGCTCAAAAGGCATATGAACTCAGGAAATCAGGAATGAAGACGCGAATCCGTGAAACGAAAGACGATGTGATTCTGGAGTATCGACAAAAAGGAGAAAAAGAATGGCTCGCTTTTAGTGATTCCTTCTAATTGATCTAGATAAGAACAAGATTATTTGCAGGAGATGACAGGTTGTAGGAGTATGATATGGTGAAGGTTTTGTATATCTGTAAAGTGCTGAGTTATGCTACAGTTGGTATCGTGTTGTTTATTTGTCAAATAATAAGTACATGTATGTTTTAGATGCTATTAGAAAGATATACTAAGGTATGCTGCAGATGTTTAAAAGTAAAATACCAGTGTTTTGAGCTTTGGATGATATCTGTAAAATTCAGAGTTATGCCTTAGTTGTTAATAACTTGTAAAATATTGAGAATTTTTGGTATCGTTATCTGTGAACTACTGTGTTATGTCATAGTTGATAACTTGTAACATATCTACATGTAGTATGTCTCAGGATATATATTTGTTTGGCAGCTTATGGTTTGCTGTATAAATTACATGGGGACATATTGGTTTTTTCTTTTTAATGTAATAAATAACTAAATTTCAACAAAGATTACAAAGATTACTGGTAGAAGTTCTTAGAGGAGCTTGTATATATTATTATTTTTTCTATGAGAGAACTACGGTTCACTATCTTATTTAGGTGGCTAAGTTAAATTAAAAAGACCCAATGCGATGTAATACGTGAATTTTCTTGATTTGTTTTGTTACCATACAGGAAGTATTTTTCATTTTTGATATATGTGTGAAAGAATGGAGAGTATGCAACATGCATATTTTTTTGCCTTTATTCAACTGTGTAGTGTAATCTATGACTAAGTTAAAAATTACTTCTGTAAACTGCAGAGGTTTACATGATTCTATGAAAAGAAAGGATGTCCTAAACTATTTAAGAAATTTTAAATCATCTATTTATTGTTTACAAGACACCCACTGTACAGAATTAGAGAAAAATTCAGTTTATGCCCAATGGGGTAATGACATACTCATCAGCTCAGGAAAATCAGATGCAAGAGGGACTTTAACCCTTTTTAATAACACAAATGAAATAAAAATTTCTAAAGTTTATAGTGATAATGAGGGGAATTTCATTATATCAAATATAATGGTGGATAACAAGTACTCAATCACTTTGGTTAATTTATATGGTCACAATAAAGATAATCCTAAATTTTATGCAGAAATAAGTGATAAAATGGATGATTTTTTTGATACTGACTTTATAATTATGTGTGGAGACTGGAATGTAGTACAAGATTACCAGTTAGACTGTTACAATTATGTTAGAGAAAACAATCCCAAAAATAAACTTGAAATTGAAAAATTAAAATCAAAATTCAATTTAGTAGATCCTTGGAGAATCAAAAACCCAGATGCTAAAAAATATACATGGAGTAGGAAGAACCCAGTAAAACAGGCTAGACTTGACTTTTTTTTAGTATCAGAGGAACTCTTATCAATTATAAATGATGTTCACATGATGCCGGGCTATAGGACTGATCACTCTATCATAGAATTAGATATTACTATTAATGAATTTAAACGTGGAAAGGGATTCTGGCGTTTTAACAATTCCTTATTGAGAAACAAAGAATTTGTGACAAATGTTAAAAAAATTATAAGGGAAACGGATAATGAATATCGTATTGATGAATCAATGTTAGGAATACCAGATAATCTTTTTCTTGATGTTCTATTAATGAAAATAAGGGATATGGCAATACAATTATCTGCAAATTTGACCCGAGAAAGGAGGGATCACAAAGCAAAGATTGGAAATCAACTTAGAATTTTACATGATATGTATAATAATTACCCTTTGTCAATTTATCTAGATATGATAAGTGACCTTGAGACAGAATTAGAGGAAATTAGAAAATATGAATTGAAGGGGCTATTGTTAAGAAGTCATTGTAAATGGATAGAAGATGGGGAGAAACCTACAAAATATTTTTTTGCCTTAGAAAAAAGAAATTATGTCAATAAAAATATTAGCAATTTAATCAATAATGATGGTAAATATGTAAATAAGCAAGCAGATATCTTAGAAGAAGTAAGGAACTTTTACAAAAAATTATATGAAAACAAAGATCAGGAGCTTGATGATGTAAATCTTGAAGACTTATTCCAAAACTTTGAGGTTCCTAAAATAAATAATGATATGAAAAACATTTTAAATGCTGAAATTACAAAACAAGAAATACTTCAAGCTCTTAAAAATTTTAAGAACGACAAAACACCTGGAACTGACGGTTTTACAGCAGAATTTTTCAAGTTTTTTTGGACAGATATTAATTCATATATTCTCAAATCCTTTAATTACAGCTATGAAGTAGGTCAATTATCTTATACTCAGATGCTTGGAATTATTTCTATTCTACCAAAAGGCAATAAGCCAAGGGAACAATTAAAAAATTGGCGACCAATTACATTATTGAACATTACATATAAACTCTTATCTAGTGTCTTAGCAAATCGAATGAAACCAATTCTGTCAAAAGTAATACATGAAAATCAAAAAGGGTTTCTTGCTGGTAGATATATTGGTGAAAACTCAAGGTTATTATATGACATCATACATTATTGTAAAGAGAATGATCATTCAGGTCTTGTTTTATTGATTGACTTTGAGAAAGCATTTGACTCTATTTCTTGGAGATTTATTTTTAAAGTACTCAGATTTTTTAATTTTGGTGAGAATTTTTTAAAATGGATAAAGATTTTGTTTAGAGAACCTAAGTTATGTGTTATTCAAAATGGTATTTTTTCTGAATTTTTCCAAATGGGACGAGGTTGTAGGCAAGGTGACCCAATTTCACCTTACTTGTTCCTACTATGTGCAGAAATAATGGGAATTATGATTAGAAATAATAAATTAATAAAGGGCATTGTTATTGAAGATAAAGAATATAAACTACTACAATATGCTGATGATACAGTTTTATTAATGGATGGTTCAGAAGACTCAATTAGATCAGCTTTGTCTTTAGTCAATCAGTATTCCAAATTCTCTGGACTGAAGCCAAATTATGATAAAACTCAATGTATTAGGATTGGATCTACTGTTCATACTGATGATAACTTGTGTGATAAATATCAAAACTTGATGTGGTCACAGGAACCATTTACAGTGTTAGGTATAGCATACTGTGTAGATCTAGACACAAACACTATGTTTGATTTGAATTTTTTGCCAAAGATTGATTCTGTCAAAAAGCTTATATCATCATGGTCTAGAAGACATTTATCAACGGCAGGTCGTATAACAGTAGTAAAAACCTTGCTTTTGCCTAAATTTAGTCACTTATTAATTAGTTTACCGAGCCCTTCTAAAGAAAAACTCAAAGAAATTGAAGCTATATTTTTTCATTATATCTGGAATACCAAAACGGCTAGGGTGGCTAAAAATATTATATGCCAAAGTTATGAAAACGGTGGTATGAGAATGACATGTCTTGATTCATTTTGTAAAAGTTTAAAAATTACATGGATTCGCAGATTGTTTGATAGTTCATGTAAATCAGCCTGGAAAGAATTGCTAAAAGATTTAATTCCTGACATTAAATATTTAGTTATCTTTGGTAGGGATTTTTCAAAAAAACTTAAGAAAGATACGGAAAATGTTTTCTGGAATGATGTTTTTTCAGCATTGTTGGATTTGAGATTATGTATTGATGATCAAACATCTATTTTAAGTCCCATATGGTATAATCCATCAATATGTATAAACAACAGAAGTGTTTGTTATAAGTCATGGCTGAGATAAGGTATACAATTTGTTTTTGATTTTTATGATACAAATGGGACTTTGTTAGGATACCAAGACTTTTGTAAACAATATGATTTAAAAACACCTTTTACAATGTTTTTAGGCATAACAAATTGTATTAGAAAATTACAGTTGAATTATGATCATAATATAATTCAAAGAAATCAACCTTTCTTCCCAAAATTCTTACAAACAATAACAAAAAGCAAACAAGGTGCAAGAGATATCTATGATGTTTTTATTAGTCAGAAATACAAAAAACCAAAAAGTGAAATGAAATGGGAAAACATTTTAGAACTTAATGTTGATGAATTTTGGTGGAAAAAACAAAACATTCTGTTTTTTAACATAACAAATGATATACAGTTAAGATGGTTCCACTATAGAATTGTACATAGAATTTTACTACAAATACATATTTACACAAAATTGGTGTTACTGACTCAGATTTATGTAGTTTTTGTAAGAAACACCCAGAGACACTTTGTCATCTTTTTTGGGAATGCGAGTGTGTTGCAGAAATTTGGGAAAATGTACTGGATTGGATGAAAGAACAGTTTGGAGTTGATATATCTCTAAACAAAGTTGATGTTTTGTTGGGAAAACATTATAAATATAACAATATATTTAATTTAGTAGTATGTATAATAAAAAAACATATTTATAGAAATAGATGCAAAAAATGTGTACCATCTTTTGAGAGGGTCAAACAAGAGGTTATGTATTATTTTAATTGTGAAAAATATATCTATAAGAAAAATGGGGAAATGGACAGTTTTAAAAAACGATGGAATTTGATAATGTTTTAATATGATTAATATATTTGAAAAAACAATGCAGTTACAGATGTACATCAACTTTTTACTGATTATATTAAGATTTTAGTTGTTAAATATTATTATAAATATAATCATATGCATGTTATGTAGCGAAAGGTGTGTGAATGATATGTGAAAAAAATGTCCTGTCACATTATGATTGTGTAATATATATGTGTATTATGTATGTTACTTAGTGAACCCAGGGCCCCAACCCTGGCACTATTATATACTTGGACATGTGATGGGGCAATAAAAAAAAAAAAAAAAAAAAAGCTGGCTGGTCGAACGCTAGTACTTTTCAAAGGTTTTATAACAAACCGATACAGACATCTGCACAGTTTAATAAAAGTATTTTAAAAAGTGTTACTTGATTAAATTCGATATGAAGAATGTAAATA